CTCAAAAAGACATTCTTACAAGTTAAAATTTAATTTAAATAAAAGAAATGCCTATTTCATAAAACTGAATAAAATCAATTGGCCAACAGGATTTAATGAGATATTTGGGAAATGTAATCATGTTTATGAGAAACCTTTGTGAACTGCAAGGTATTAGAAAAATGCACATACTTGTTGCCAACTGTATGCCCAGATGAAGAAGAAATGGCATTTATACAGAAGGAAAGAGGTTTTTCATCCATCTCAGCTAAGCTGCACCACTGCCTTCCTGCTGAACTTTGGGTAACATCCTCATTTTACAATGAGAGCAAAAGTGGGGGGATGTCACGCCCAAGATCAAGTTGCAATGTCAGGGCTCAGATCCAGACCAATCCGACCACAAGAGGCCACATCCTGTCCACCACGTCCTGTCCACTGCACCCTGTCCGCCACGCCCTGTCCACCATGTCCTGTCCACTGCACCCTGTCCACCGCGCCCTGTCCACCGCATCCTGTCCACCGCGCCTGGTCCACCTCGTCCTGTCCACCGCGCCCTGTCCACCTCGTCCTGTCCACCGTGCCCGGTCCACCGCGCCCTGTCCACCACGTCGTGGCCACCATGTCCTGTCCACCGCGCCCAGTCCACCTCGTCCTGTCCACCGCGCCCTGTCCACCTCGTCCTGTCCACCGCGCCCGGTCCACCACGCCCTGTCCACCGCGCCCTGTCCACCTCGTCCTGTCCACCGCGCCCAGTCCACCGCGTCCTGTCCACCATGTCCTGTCCACCGCGCCCTGTCCACCACGTCCTGTCCACCACGCCCTGTCCACCTCATCCTGTCCACCGCGCCCTGTCTACCTCGTCCTGTCCACCATGTCCTGTCCACCGCGCCCGGTCCACCTCATCCTGTCCACCGCGTCCTGTCCACCACGCCCTGTCCACCCCGTCCTGTCCACCACGCCCTGTCCACCTCGTCCTGTCCACCGCGCCCTGTCCACCTCGTCCTGTCCACCATGTCCTGTCCACTGCGCCCTGTCCACCGCGCCCTGTCCACCGCACCCTGTCCACCACGCCGCCCTCTGCAGGCAGTGGAGGGAGCTGACAGTCCAGTGGGCAGTGAAACGAATCAGGTGAACACATCTGAGAGCCAGGCAACTCCCAGGTCTACCAGCGGTTCAGAGAAGAGAACAACTCCATCCCATGGATTTATCATCTAACGCCTCGCTTCCAGTGAGAATTAACGTGCTCCTTTCTAAATATATCAGTTCACAGAGGAGAGGTGCTGAGCGATCAAAGGGAAATCAAACAAGGCCCCTACCCTCAGGAAGCTCAGCCTTCAGTGAGACAGATGATAAACAAGGAATTTCAGTAGAGGGGATAAGCATCCCTGCAGGGAAAGCCCAGGGATTGGTGGGGGCATAGAAGTAAGTGTGAGTGGGCACGTGACAACTTCGTGCAGTCCTCACGCAGGGTCTGATAGAGCAGAGCACCTTCCAGCGAGTTCAAACACCCTCTCAAAGTGGGCAGTGCATCCTCCCCTGGCCAGGAGAGCCAGTCCCTTGAGAATCTGAGCAACCAGAGAGGCAGAGACAGGAGGAGCTCGGAGGCTTTTCGTTACAACTGCCCATGCTGAAGGCTGTGCTTTAACCTTTTATTCCTGTCGTTCTTGTTGTCTAGCCACTAAGTCGTGTCCAACTGTTTTGCAACACCATGGACCATATCCCACCAGGCTCCTCTGTCCATGGGATTTCCCAGGCAGGAACACTGGCGTGGGTTGCCATTTCCTTCTCCAGGGCATCTTTCCAACCCGGGAACTGAACCCATGTCTCCTGCATTAGCAGGTCGTTTCTTTAACACTGAGACACCCGGGAAGCCCAACTTTTGGTTTTAGCCATTGTTTATACAGCATTTCCATGTTTTGTGGTTCTTTCATTTAGATTTTAAATTCTCTTTCAATCATTATTTCTCACCAGTCTGTCTAAAGTAATTATATTTACTTTATAAGTCATGGATTATGGTTATGGCTTTAGAAGATTTCTTAACTTTTATTCACCTTTCTGATTTTCCTTGACCCGAGAGGAAAACATAACAAAAAGTGAATGCATCCTGAAGTGAGACAGTGGTAGATTCACATCCCAGCTTTGTGACTCATGGGATGAGGGACCAGGAGAAATTTCTCCTCTTCGCTGAGCCCCACATCCATTATCTAGGATTGTGGGCTCTGATATCTTGCTTAATCTTTACCGGAAACCATCCTTTATAGGACTGTGGTTAAGATTAAGCACGGTATCAGACCTAAAGCTCTTAATGGCTTCACAGAAAGGCCTGTCTGGATGAATAAAATTTCAAGGAGAAATACAAAAAGAATTTTAAAGAAAGAAAAATGAGCCATTCTCTCAGGATGAAACTTTATGCCAGAGAGTCCATAACTTAATGGGTAAACCAAGGTCTCTTGTGCAGTAAGCAACAACTTGCTCCATGTTCTTTATAGTCTGTGATATTATAAAACTGCAGGCTCTTATGAGAAGTTGGGATAAGCCAAAAAAATTGACCTTTCTTTTTCCATTAGAGTTCTAAACCAATAAAAGTATAGAGAAAATGTGTAAAAAAGATACAGAGAGAGAGGGGTCATTTATAAATAATAGAGTCTTGAGGGACATACCAATCAATTGCAATGTATGAAATAACTGTCATCTAATTCAAAATATTATACTAATTTTTTGAGATTCTGAAGGACATTTGAAACTTACTGATATTTGACATTATTCAGGAATTGCTGTGATAATTGTATGGTAATTATGCCTTTTTATATCCTCTTTTCAAAATACATATTGAAATATTTACAGATGAAATGATGTCTAAGCTCAGAATACTAATGAAGAGGCAAATAGTTGAGAACATAGACAAAACCAGATTGACAATAACTTAATGGTAATTGAAGCTAGGTAGGTGATGGGTTCATGGTATATTATTCTTCTAATATTACTTATATTTGAAACTTTTCTTGAAAGATCTTTTTAATATAGATAAAAATATCACCTATCTCCTGATAAAGATGAAGTTGGAGAGTGTGGCTTAAATGTGCACCTCATGGGCTGCCCCCTGAGCCCTTGAATCAAGCAGGGGTGAGCCTGAGCAGGCACAGGCCTCTTGGTGCGCCAGCCCGTTAGAGTAGCTCACGGTGCTCCTCAGTCTGGGGTCTTGAGTTCCGTTCCTATGGAGCCTCCGCCTTTGTCTCTGTCCCAGTGGCCCTTCCAAACTCAATCGGCCATGTTGCAAATGTGAGCTGGTGAGTACCAGGTAGATGAGGCCAGGATAGCAGGCCACACGAATCCATCCTTCTCATCCTTGGAAAAGAATCCATAGCACAACACATGCTGTGTCAGGGAGGGCAGGGCAGAGTGACTCCACAGGGTCATCTTTGCACATTCAGGTGGTGAGGAGAAAGATAATAAGAGGGGGATCGATTACATCAGAAGAAAAACAGGAACATTTTATTGAGAGATGAATGGATAAAGAAGTTGTGGTACATACATACAGTGGAATAGTACTCAGCCATAAAAAGGAACAAAACTGAGCCAACTCCAGTGAGGCGGATGAACCTAGAGCCCGTTATACAGAGTGCAGTAAGTCAGAAAGAGAAAAACAAATGTCCTATATTAGCATACACATATGGAATCTAGAAAAATGGTACTGGTGAACCTATTTGCATGGCAGGGATAGAGGTGAGATGCAGAGAATGGCCTTGTGGACACAGTGCAGGGGAGGGGAGGGTGGGACGGACGAGAGAGCATGATACATACACCATCATGCGTAAAACAGCTAGTGGGAAGCTGCTCTACAACACGGGGGACCTCAGCTCAGTGCTGTGATGACTTAGGGGGTAGGCAGGAGGCAGGGGTAAGGGAGGTTCAAGGGGATGTGGACTTACGTATACCTGTGGCTGATTCATATGGATAGATGGCAGAAACCAACACAACACTGTAAACCAGTCATCCTCCAATTAGAAATAAATTTAAAAACATAAAAGAGGGAAGAGATATATGCATACTTAGAGCTGATTCACATTGTTGTTTAGCAGAAACTAACACAGCATTATAAAGCAGTTATCCTCCAATTAAAAATAAAAAAATAGAAATGTTTAATTAGTAGAAATAAAAGAGTGAGATCTGCATTTTAGAAAAATGTGTACCAGCCGGAGAGGTTTCATGGAGAGAGACAATGGAACGTGGAAGGAAGGCAGCAGAGCTGAGAAATATTTTATCTTCTTACCACAAAAGTGAAGTGACCCAGGAATACAGGGGAAGCTCGATCACATGGAGCAGAGGGTCCGACTGAGACCATATTGTATATTTGTAATCTGTGGATGCCCTGGCAATGGGGCCTTCATCTCACAGTGATGGCATGATAATGAGACACACACAGAACTCTAGGTGGTCCTGTTGACCCCATTTTGGGAGAAGGTCTGTGAAGGAGATAGATAGGGCTCAGCAACTAACCAAAAAAAAAAAAAAAGGAAGGTCCTAAAGGAAAGCCTTTGAGCGATTCACCAAGTAATAGATTTGACCCGATACCCTAGAGTACTTCGGGGTATAATGCTTTTCCTACTGACTTTGAAGTTGATGCAGATAATAAGCCATCTGGTGGTTTGTCCAAATTATCTCACCTTTCTACCTAATGCTGTTGCTCTCTGAAATAACTTGAACCAGGAAGAAGAGGAAGCCTATTCTCCAAAACTAACCTGTATTAGTTTGAAATAGAAGCACTTGCAGTACCCTGATGCTTTGTAATCAACCTCTCTCCCATAGACGATTAGGTCAGGCAAGAAGACAGGATGCAGATAACTTGCCAAATAGGGTATGATCTGGTCTCCATGGGGACCGGAGCAGCACGACTCAACCCTCCACTCTGACGTGGATGCTCTGGACTAGAACAGTGACCAGCAGAGACAAAGGGGCCGATTATCTGGGAGTGAGCACCCTGTGTTGCTGTTTTTACTTGGCTTTCTCTTCCCTGACTCCAGGTCTATGAGACAGCTGGAAACAGTGGTACCACCTTGCTGGCGGAAGTGTTTCTGCCCATCCCCGAAACCACCGTTGTCAGCGGAAGGGCTCCCATTGAGGAAGTGGAGTTTAGCAGTAACCAGCATGTGACTCTGGACCACGAAGGAGTCGGAAGTGGTATGGAAGGCCTCAGTGGCTCACGGAATCACTGTCAGATTTGAACATCTTTTTTTTTCTTCCCTTATCAGACAACCAGACAATTCCAACATTGCTATCAGAAATTCAAATGAAAGCAATAATCACATATGATTTTTTGCAAAGTAATTTTTACACACCATGGGGGGCCAGTAAATTCATGTAACTGTCCAAGTGTAAAGTAGTTTGGCCACGTGAATTAAGGGCCTTTAGATTGCCTTTGTGGAGAAGGAAATGGTAACCCACTCCAGTATGCTTGCCTGGAAAATCCCAGGGACAGCCTGGTGGGCTGCCGTCTATCGGGTCACACAGTCAGACACAAGTGAAGCGACTTAGCAGCAGCAGTAGCAGCAGATTGCCTTTGACACCTTAAATTCAACTTCTAGGAATCTTTCCTGAAAAAATAATTTAAAATGAAGATAAAACTTTGTGCATTAAAAAAAAAAGTACATCATAATGTAAGGTGGAAAAGTTTGAAATAAAATAATGGTAATGGGGATATTATTAAATAATATTCTCTCATCTCTCATTCTCTCATGGACTTTTTCACTCTATCAACCATGTTTTTTTTTTAACCTCTCTTTAATATATTTGACATCTCTTTCTTCCACTTCTATATTCTGTGTAATTTCTTTAAATCAGTCTTCCAAATCATGAATTCACTTTCTGGCTAAGTCCAGTCATTGAAACTCATCACCGAGTTCCTCATTTCAATGACTGTATTTTTCACCTCTGGAAATCCTATTTAGTTTTTTTTACAATCAGTTCTGACAACCTTGGGTCATTTTCTGGTACTCTCAATCACTTATTTCACTCATTCATTCATTTCTTCATTCTCTGTGTGTGTGAGTCGCTCAGTCGTGTCCAACTCTTTGCGACCCCATGAACCACAGCACGCCAGGCCTCCCTGTCCATCACCAACTCCCGGAGTCCACCCAAACCCATGTCCATCAAGTCGGTGATGCCATCCAGCCATCTCATTCTCTGTCGTCCCCTTCTCCTCCTGCCCTCAATCTTTCCCAGCATCAGGGTCTTTTCAAATGAGTCAGCTCTTCACATCAGGTGGCCAAAGTATTGGAGTTTCAGCTTCAACATCATTCCTTCCAATGGACACCCAGGACTGATCTCCTTCAGGATGGACTGGTTGGATCTCCTTGCAGTACAAGGGACTCTCAAGAGTCTTCTCCAACTCCACAGTTCAGAAGCATCAATTCTTCGGTGCTCAGCTTTCTTTATAGTCCAGCTCTCACATCCATACATGACCCTTGACTAGACGGACCTTTGTTGGCAAAGTAATGTCTCTGCTTTTTAATATGCTGTCTAGGTTGGTCATAACTTGTCTTCCAAGGAGTAAGCGTCTTTTAATTTCATGACTGCAATCACCATCTGCAGTGATTTTGGAGCCCAGAAAAATAAAGTCAGCCACTGTTTCCACTGTCTCCCCATCTATTTGCCATGAAGTGATGGGACTGGATGCCATGCTCTTAGTTTTCTGAATGTTGAGCTTTAAGCCAACTTTTTCACTCTCCTCTTTCACTTTCATCAAGAGGCTCTTTAGTTCTTCTTCACTTTCTGCCATAAGGGTGGTGTCATCTGCATATCTGAGGTTGTTGATATTTCTCCTGGCAATCTTGATTCCAGCTTGTGCTTCCTCCAGCCCAGCGTTTCTCATGATGTACTCTGCATATAAGTTAAATAAGCAGGGTGACAGTATACAGCCTTGACGCACTCCTTTCCCTATTTGGAACCAGTCTGTTGTTCCATGTCCAGTTCTAACTGTTGCTTCCTGACCTGTGTTTCCTACTTGAATGTAAATTCCGTGAGGTCAGGGATTCCTATCAGTTTTCTTTGCTGCTGTCTTGGTGACTAGAATAGTGCCTGGCATGAAGTACGGGCTCAAATAGATATCTACTGAACTAATGAAGGAGTGTCTTCACAGTAATCCTTAAAAGGGGGTACTATCATTATTATTATAGTATGGGCTTCCCTGATAGCTCAGGAAAGAATCCGCCTGCAGTGCAGGAGACCCCATTTCGATTCCTGGGTCAGAAAGATACATTGGAAAAAGGAAAGGCTACCCACTCCAGTATGCTGGCCTGGAGGATTCCATGGACTGCATACTCCATGGGGGGTCACGAAGAGTAGGACACAACTGAGCAACTTTCACTTTCATTATTATTATCTCCATTTTATATACAGTGAAACTAAGGTTCAGAGAAGTTAAGCAATTTGTCCATAGTCACACAGCTGTTAAGTGGCAGAATACATATGCAGTTGGTCCCAGTGCAGAGTGCATCACTCATCTTAATGCTACACTCTGCTATCAGAGATACAGCCGAGGGGCCTACTGTGTCATCACCAGAAGTTCAAGGTTGTTGATTTGAATGATGTATTCCATCCCCCCATCCCCATTTGTCTGCTCTCTGCTTTGCCTTCTCACTAACACAGGGCTCACTCCCTTTCTAAACAGCATACTTTTTCATCTGCTGCTTCCTCAGGAGTGCCCTTCTCATTTGAAGCTGATGGTAGTAATCAACTGATTCTAATGACCTCAGGGAAAGTGTCCAACAGCGTGGCGTGGGCCATTGGAGAAAATGGGATTCCTTTAATTCCTCCGTTGTCACAGCAGAATATTGGATTCAGAAGGTAACGTGCGGCTAGAACAGCTGGTGAACAAGGACAGCATTGGCGTTAGCACGATTCAGTGGGGGAAAAGGCTTTGCAGTCTCACAGTCTTTCCTTTTATTATCATGTGCCAGTATTGTCAGGATTTTGTGTGTGTGTGTCCTTATGATAAAAACTAAAATGCTAACACCCTAACAAATACCGGATGTTTGCCAGCATCAGATACACTGAAAAGCACTTTCCCCTATCTAGTCTTCCCCAGTAAGTCTGTGAAGTATTTTTGCAGTTTTACAGACGGGCAGAGTACATGGTGTGTGTTGTTGCTGTTGTCCAGTTGCTAAGTCGTGTCCTGTGTGACCCCATGGACTGCAGCTCACCAGGCTTCCCTGTCCTCCACTATCTCCAGGAGTCTGCTCACGTTCATGTCCATTGGGTCGGTGATACCATCCAACCATCTCATCCTCTGCTTCCCTCCTGCCTTCAATCTTTCCCAGCATCAGGGTCTTTTCCAATGAGCCGGCTCTTCGCATCAGGTGACCCAAATATTGGAGCTTCAGCATCAGTCCTTCCGGTGAATGCTGGCATGGCATATAGTTGTATATATTTGGCCCTCAGTCAGAGATCACTGTAAAATATGACTGATGTTGAAACTTCTGGGTGTATGAAAGGCCCTATTCTCAGTCCCCTTCCTTGATTGCTAGCTGTCGGTTTCCCTCAGAACAGCAGGAAGGGACTCACTCCAGACGGACGGGCCGCCCCTTACTGGTTGATGTCCGTGCAGGCAGCCTGGACTCTGGAACCAGGCGCCGGGGTTCCAGGCTTGCTTCTGTCATCCGCAATGGATGTGTCTTGAGTGGATCATCTTACTGTCGTGGCCTCAGTAGCCTCCATAAAATGAAAGGACTTTTCTTTTTTTTTTTTTTAATTTATTTATTTGGCTGCACCAAGTCCTCGTTGCAGTGTGCAAGATCTTAGTTGTGATGGGATCTAATTCCCTCACCAGGGATCAAACCCAGGCCTCTTGCCTTGGGAGCAGGGAGTCTTAACCACTGGACCACCAGGGAAGTCCCAAAAGGACTTATCTTGATCGTCAAGAAGATACATTACAAGTCACGCACTGTCATTTCCAACACATGGAAAAACAGAGGAACAGGGCCGGTTTTGTTCCTTTTATGCCCTCACCTCCCAATGTAAACACCTGTATCCATGTGATAATAGCAATGAGGCCTTTCTCAGCCAGCAGCCTGGCAGCGCTCCCAGGGGAGGCTTGTTTCTGCCTCTACGGACAAGCCTCCTGTTCTTTGTCTCACTGAGTTTCCTGCCGAGGTTAAAGCTCCAGCTCCTCAGGAGAGAAGGAGAAACAGTGTGAGTGACGGGAGACACAGCCCTGCTAAAAAAGGCCCAGCTCAACCGTGGTGACCACCCAGCCCCCTGGAATTCAGTCGTGTCCAAAGTTGGGGCTTAAGTTACTTGCATAGATGTTTCTTCTCTTTCATTTTAGCCTCAGCCCCAAGTGGTCCCCAGTTACCTGGGAGGTGGGGCCTCTGGGGCATCCTACACCAGGTACCCTGTTCTGGATCCAGCGACTCAGGACGCTGTCGCAGAGATGCAGGGTCACATTTGCAATCCTTCTAATTATGCTTTTTTCCCCCAGTTGTACTGAGATTTAATTGACATGTAACATTGTGTAAGTTTAAGGTATACAACAAGATGATTTGATATTTCTAGATATTGCAAAATGACTTTCACAATAAGTTTGAGTAACATCCATTGACACACATAATTAGAGATTTTTCCCCCCCTTGGGCTGAGAAATTTTAAGATCTACTCTCTTAGCAATCCCCAAGTGTACAATAGAGTATTAGTAGCTACACTCATATAGTCATACACAGATTGAAGGCAGGAGGAGAAGGGGGTGGCAGAGGATGAGATGGTTAGATAGCACCACCAAACTCACTGGACATGAATGTGAGCAAACTCCAGGAGATGGTGAAGGACAGGGAAACCTGGGGTGCTGCAGTCCATGGGGTTGCAAAGAGACGGATACAACTGAGCGACTGAACAACAATAGCTGCAGACACCACGCTGTACATTAGAGTCCCAGAACATATTCGTCTTACAGCTGAAAGTTTGTACTCTGGAGTGGCTTCATCCATTTATCCACCCCCTGACCTCTGGCTCCACCAGTCTTTTCTCTGTTTCTACATGTTTGGTTATTTTAGATTCCACGTAAAAGTGAGATCATCTCACTTAGCATAATGCCTCAATGTCCATCCATGTTACAAATGGCAGGATTTCCTTGTTTTATGACTGAATTTTATATACGTATATATGTGTACACATATCCCATTTTACTTATCCATGTGTCCATTGATGGACACTTTGGTGGTTTCCATGTCTTGGCTGTTATAACTGATACTGCAGTAAACATGGGGGTGCAGAGACCTCTCCAGGACATTCACTTTGCTTACTTTGGATGTATCCCCAGAAGTCAGATTGCAGGAGCATGTGACTGCTCTACTTTTAACTTCTTGAGCCTCCGTGCTGTTTTTCACAGTGGCTGCACCAACGTACATTCCCAGCAGTGCAGAAGGAATTCCCCTCTCACATCCTTGCCAGCACTTGTTATTGCTTGCCTTTTATGACAGCCATCCTGACAAGTGTGAGGAGGCCTTTCGTTGTGGTTTTGATTTGCATTTCCCTGATGGCTGACCATCTTTTCATGTGTCCACTGGCCACTTGTATGTCTTTGGAAAAATGCCCATTCAGATCCTTTGCCCAGTTGTTAATCAGATTACTTGTTTTGTCGCCATTGAGTTGAATGAGTTCCTTATATTTTTGGATGTTTTTACGCCTTATTAGACACATGCTTTGAAAATATTTTCTGCCACCATTCATGCTTTTTTATTACCCTTATAACATATTTAATAGCAACCATCAGGTAAGGACAAATGGCAGAAGTCCTTCCTACCATCAGATTTTCCTTCACAGAGCGGGGCTGACCCTGCGATTCTGTGGTCCTGATGCAGACTGCTCTGTGATGAAGTCTGTCTCAAGGAATCAACTTCTGTTTTCAGTGCTTTGAAGAGAGCAGATGCCATCTCCTCTATCGGCACGTCAGGACTGACAGACATGAAGAAGTTGGCCAAGTGGGCGGCAGAGTCCAAGCTCGACCCCAACGACCCCAGCAATGGCCCCCTGATGCAGCTGATCTCGGTAACGTGGCAGGAGCCGTGGGCGCACACCACTTCTCTACTCGGTGTGGTAACCACAGAAAGGGCAGGGCTTTTTACACAGGTCCCCTTTCGCACTACGTTCTCCTATGCCAGAGTGTGTGAGAACGTGAAGGCTGGGTTGAATGACAGGTTTAAATTCTAGCTCTGTACCTACTGACTGTGGGAGCAAGACAAACGTGGTCCGAAGCCCGTGATGCCCTCACAGTGTTGTTGGGAAGAAATGAGCTGCTGGGTGTCAGCCCCTAGCTGTCCACACTCTGCATGCAGGAAGCACCAGGTACTGCTGAGGTTACGGGGCTTCCCAGGTGGCGCTAGTGGTAAAGAACCCTAAATGGTAATCTAATTAATCATCCAACCAGAAAGTTAGCAAAACCACCATTTCTGAAGACACCCCAGAGAAGGAGAAATAAGCAATGCAGGTTTGATCCCTGGGTTGGGAATATTCCCTGGGGGAGGGCATGGCAACCCACTCCAGCACTCTTGCCCGAAGAATCCCATGGACAGAGGAGCCTGGTGGGCTGCAGTCCAGGGGGTCCCGAAGAGTCAGACACAACTGAAGTGACTGATCATGCATGCACGCACATTGTGGTTACTCTTACATCTAACCTCCATAAAATCCCTAAGGAAAAGTTTCCCTTCGCCCCTTCCATGGAGAGACACTGAACCCAGACTCTCGGGATTCCTTGCTCCAGGGCACGTAACTGGTAAGGACGCGGCTCCCAGTAGATGCAATTTCAGGGCATTTGCTCTTTCCACGTCACCTTGAAGGGCTGATGGGGCGTCTTCAGAAATGGTGGTTTTGTTCGTTTTCTTGTTGGGTGATTAATTAGATTACCATTTAGGTTTCACTTAAATATTTTTGAGATAAATTGTATCTATCATAACATTCAAAATTCTTTCTTTGGTGAATTTATGCATAAAATGGCACATTAGTTAGTAAACGATTTCTCTTGGTATCAAAGACAGTTGCTTTTGCTCCCAAGTTCACAGTTTCCACTGAAACCTAATAAATAAGTATTTGATCCAGCAAGTGTCCATAGCAGCACATTCTGTGATCACATTTCTTAGTTCATTGGGTTAACTCTAACCAGGATGAAAACTTTCATTGTTCCTCTAGTGATTCGGAGAAGTCCCAAAGCAAGCTTCAGCTTATTCTGATTTTTATCTTTATAAAATCTCCTTCCAACATGATACTTAGTGCAGATAGAGCATTACTAGAAAGAACAGGCCATATTACCTGAAGTATAGCCTATTCCATGTAAAAGTCTCAAATTTTGTTTCAGTGACTTGCCCTAAACTGACAATAATAGAGTGCATATGTCCCCTTCATTAGCTTTCCTGATGACTCAGATGGTAAAGAATCTGCCTACCACACAGGAGACCCAAGTTCGGACCCAATTTGGGCAGACCCAGGGCAGACTCCTGCCTACAATACAGGAGACCCTGGGTTGGGAAGATGCCCTGGAGAAGGAAATGGCTACCCACTCCAGTATTCCTGTCTGGAGAATCCCATGGAGGGCTACAGTCCACAGGGTCACAAAGAGTCGGACACAACTGAGTGACTAAATGCTTGCTCCCCTTCAGGTGTCTTCTTTTTAACTATTTGCTTCCCAGAAAAGGACAAAACACAGGGTTTGCCTTCCTGTTGCTGTTCAGTTGCTCAGCCATGTCCAGCTCTTTGCGACCCCACGGACTGCAGCACGCCAGGCTTCTCTGTCCTTCGCCATCTCCTGGAGTCTGCTCAAGCTCATGTCCGTTGCGTCAGTGAGGCCATCCCACCACCTCATCCTTGCCTTCCTGACTTGCTTCTTTTATGAACTGGGATTGTCACCGCAGGATCACCTTTCCCATTGCAAAGCCCCAGTGGATCTCTGCTCCTGGAGTCTCTGTCTCTGCAGGTCAAGGCTGCAGCTGACACAGCTCCCAGCAGAGGATTGGACGCCTGGGCAGAGGGCAACCCAGACCTGCTCGTCCCCTTGGGCTTGCTGAAGCTGTGCTTTTTATGCTGGTGCCTGGGTCCGTCTCCGGTTCACTTTTCCTAATGAGCAAGGCCGCCAGGTGGTGTCCAGGAACAAGGCAGCGTGGCCGTGGAGGCAAGTGAAGCTGACGGACTGACTCTGGGGCCCTTGTTTATGTGCAGAGTGGAAGTGAAAGTGAAAGTCACTCAGTGGTGTCCGACTCTTTGCAACCCCATGAATCCATGGGATTCTCCAGGCCAGAACACTGGAGTGGGCAGCCTTTCCCTTCTCCAGGGATCTTCCCAACCCAGGGATCAAACCCAGGTCTCTCACATTGCAGGCAGGTTCTTTACCAGCTGGGCCACAAGAGAAGTCCATTTATATGCATAAATATAGTCTAAAGATTATATTTTTTAAATGTTTTGAAATATATTTAAAATGTTGAAGTGTAAAAAATTAAATTATTTTAAGTAGGAGTAGTTTAGTTGCTAAGTCATGTCTGACTCTTGAGACCCAATGGACTGTAGCCTGCCAGGCTCCTCTGTCCTTGGGATTCTCCAGGCAAGAATACTGAGTGGATTGCCATTTCCTTCTCCGGAGGAATCTTTCTGACCCAGGAATCAAACCCAAGTCTCCTGCGTATTTTTTGCAGTAGGCGTTTGGTAACACACTGATATAACTGACTCATTTATCAGTCTGTTATATTTTCATAACACCTCCTAGGGGAGCATGCGTACCAGAAATGAACCGTTTGCTTTTTATTTCTCTGGAAAAATGATTTATGGTGCTTTTTATAACTATTCAATGAATACAATAGCATCTCCCTCATTGCCATTATATTTGACTGTGTTTTCTCTTTAAATGAAATAGTGGATGTTTCAAGTCTCTCCATCTAAAACTGTTCAACATTCAACATCATTCCCAAAGGCTCAGGGCCAAGTTTCCTTGGGTGAAATCTGCCTGTCCCCTAGAGCTTTGTATTTCCTGGTTTTCATAGGTCGCTACCAGTGGTGAATCCTACATCCCTGATTTCTTCCGACTCGAGCAGCTCCAACAGGAATTTAACTTTGTTTCGGATGAGGAATTAAATAGATCCAAACGATTCAGGCTTCTTCTTCTTAGAAGCCAAGAGGTGCCAGAGTTCCGACATTATAAGCAAATTCCACTGTATGACCGAGAAATTATGGAAAAAGTATTTCAGGTAAGAGATTGCCTTAGAGGGGTTAATAAAATAATCAAATATTTACTGTGCCATTTTGTTTACTATTATATATATGTAGTTGTCCTTGCAGTGTTCTCAGTAGCAATATTGGTTTCTTCTTTATCGCACTTTACATAGTCTTTTCATTATTTTTCTTGAATCCAATGTTTAAATAATCTCTTTGTCTCAGTCTAATTACATCTAAACTAGGAAAAGTTGGGAATTGAAGAATCTTGAAAGATTTCTTTTCAAAAGAAAAATTGAAGAATCTCTTAAGTGTTAGAATGGCAAACGGTCCTACCTTAGTCAGGAATTCGATGCCATTTTTTTCAAATTAATTTATTTACTTATATGGCTGCTTCGGGTCTTCGTTGCAGCCCACAGGATCTTCATTGCATCATGAGGTACCTTTCATTGCACTGCACAAACTCTCTAGTTGTGGCTTGAGGACTTAGTTGCTCCAAAACATGTGGGATCTTAGTTCCCTGATCAGGATTCAAACCCATGTCCCCTTCATTGCAAGGCAGATTCTTAACTACTGGACCACCAGGGAAGTCTTTCAATGCCATTTTAAGTCAATAAGTATTTACTAAGCACAAAACATGGTGGTAAGCGCCACTTGGAAGATAGATGGGTAGGATTTGAACAGCCTGGGTGAGGGGGTAGGAAGTGGGGAACAGGTCTGGTCAGGATGCTGCAGGCAGCTGGAAGCAGAAAGCCTTGGGGGAAGATGGGGTGAGGCAGGGAGCCTTTGAGGAGTTACAGGGAACCGGCCTGTGTAGGGGGCGGGCCAGGGAAAGCTGGACAAGTTTATGTTTGATGAGGTAAAGAAATAGCCACTAGAATTTAATATCAGTATGACTTCTTTTGTTTGTTTATTTTCACTGTCATTACTCTAGGAGGTGGATCCGAAAAGATATTGCTGCAATTTATATCAAAGAGTATCCTGCCTTACATTTTCCTCTAAGAGTTTTATAGCCCCTGGCCTTACATTTTGGTCTTTGATCAAATGCAGTATGATTTTTCATGCAGAAATTGTTCTTGGAGAGATGTCTTTGGTTACTTGGTTCTTCTTTGTATCAGTTTGGACTTGTGATTATAAGTGATAAAAACCCAATTTGAACCAGCTCCTGTACGGGGGAGTTTATTAGATGATGAAATCACAAAATGGAGCGAAGCGTCTGAGACATCTGAATGACAGGAGCCCGTCTGTCCGTCAGAGCCACCCAGGGAGTGCCAGGCTCCTTCTCCTTCCTGGGGAGGCTTCACGTGGTATGGTGGCTTCATTTTCCCCCACCGCAGACAGATTTCTCTGCTTGGTCACCAGTATCACCCAAGGTCATACCTAGGAGCCTCAGCCAGGAGGGAGAGCTGGGTCTTCTTGTCCCGAGTCTAACAATCTTGGGGACAGGGTCTTCCCTGGTGTCCAGTGGATAAGAATCTCCTATGCAAGGCAGGGGATGAGGGTTTGATCCCTGGTCAGGGAACTGAGATCTCATATGCCACAACAAAAACTCCATGTTTTGCAACTAAGACCTGATAATAAAGAAATATTTTTTATGCAGTCAAATAGGAAATAATTAAAAAAGAAAAGAACCATCTTGAAGACAGCTCTTGAGCCACCCAGGCTGGGTTAGGAGTCACCCTGGGCATCAGCTATGACCAGAGAAGGACTGAGGGAGAACATGGCAGCTCACTGGGGCCCACATGGAATTTTCTTGATAGAAAAAAGAGAGGAAAGTACAGCTGCTTAAGAAGAGAAAGCCAAAGGCACCCACTACTCTCCTCCAAGTTGGTGACTCAGGTCAACTGCAACCAGATGTTAGTTACTCTTTTTGTAATTGCTTTACTTGAAATAGAAAGACAAAAATTAAGCAGGGGCTTTGGCTAAGTCATTTGGGAGCTTAGTATCTGGATCTACACTGACTTGATTATCTCTATGGCCTCTCTTTCTTTCTGCGTGAACTCTGTAATGTGTAAAAACAAATAACGTATATGATACAAGGAATTTAGAAAAATGGTACTGACGAACCTACTTGCAGGGCAGCAATAGAGACACAGACCTAGAGAATGGACTTTGGACACAGTGGGGGAAGGAGACGGTGGGGCAGATGAGAGAGTAGATAACTAGTGGGAAGCTGCTATAAAGAACAGGAAACTCAGTGTGACGCTCTGTGATGACCTGGAAGAGAGATGCGGGGTGGGGGGAATGCTCAAACAGGAGGGGATGTATGCGTACATATAGCTGATTCACACTGTTGTACAACAGAAACCAACACAAATTGTAAAGCAATTGTACTCCAATTTTTAAAATAAATTTGAAAAAGCATTGTAACTTGTAACTACTTGTAAAGCAGTTCAATCATCTGTTTCCAAATCCTGGATGCTGCATCAGAGATCAACTCTGAACCTGAAGTTCAGAGGGAAGTAGAAGGAAGATTTAGAACCATAATTTGTGACTTCAACCACACATGACAAATAATTCTCTAATCTGGACTGTAGCCCGCCAGGCTCCTCTGTCCATGGAATTTTCCAGGCAAGGATACTGGAGTGGGTTGCCATGCCTCTCTCCAGGGGATCTTCCGACCTGGGAAATGAACCCTGGTCTCCTTCCTGCATTGTAGACAGATTCTTTACTGTCTGAGCCACCAGGAAAGCCCAATCTCAAAAAAGGCATGAGAGAGTACCAGTATTTTAAAATCATAGAAGTATTGCTTCCTTTTAATTTTAGGACTATGAGAAACGGTTACGAGACAGAAATGTAATCGAAACCAAGGACCACCTGGATACCCACAGGGCCACAGTAGCAAAGTACCTCCAGGAGGTAAGGAAAATCATCTTAAACAGTCCTTGTAGGGGACAAACAGGCAGCATCCTGATGTTGGAGAAGGGACATCTCTAGCCTCAACCCTCGTCGGCTTATTTTCTCATAACTGTTGTCGTTTACTTGCTCAGTCGTGTTTGACTCTACTGCGACCCTGTAGACTGTAGCCCGCCAGGCTCCTCTGTCCGTGGGATTTCCCAGGCAAGAATACTGGAGTGGGTTGCCATTTCCTTGTTAGGGAGTCCCTCGAAGAATATTCTAGAGTGCAAAATTCTAGGGTCACAATGGCAACATGAATAACCTCTCTCTTCTTTTTAAGACTAGACATAAAGTCGCTTATCCTATAGTAGTCGGTAATCCTTTATGGCTTGCCAGGATCCTCTGTCCATGGGATTTTTCAGGCAAGAATACTGGAGTGGGTTGCCATTTCCTTCTCTAAGGGATCTTTCTGGCCAGGGATCAAACCCACATCTGCATTGGCAGGTGGGTTCTTTACCACTGAGCCACCAGGGAAGCCCTTCTAATAGATATAAAAATAGATATAAAATTGATTAGCAACTATCTTCATCTTTGTAACATAGTTACTTGGTTCTCCTTTGTATTAGCTCAGATTCCTGATTATAAGTGATAAAAAAAATCCAATTTGAACTAGATCAGGCACCAAAGGGAATGTATTCACTGATGAAATGCTGAAAACACTAGGACATGTCTCAGTTCATTATCAGTGGTTCTCTTAAGAGGGGTGTGATTACAAGGCACTTACTTTCTAAATCATGATTTTTTAAAAAATATTTGAATGTTTGCTATGGCAAAACTTGCAAATTTGATTAGATCCCATTTGCTTATTTTTGTTTTTATTTCTATTGCATTGGAAGACTAACTAAATATAGAATTACCACATGAATGTGTGCATCTTATTACCTTTGTAATAAAAAAGTTTTATAAACCACATCCTCACTGCCCTTCTGCACTAGAAAATCAAAATATGCTTTTGTCCTTCCTTTTAATTAATTTAACTGGTAAGAAATGCTACAACGACTACAGTACATTTTCCCTAGCCAGTTAATCTACCCTGTAGCTCTTGTATAAAAAAATAATTTATGACATTTAAGAGAGCCTCCATTTAAAAAATAATTAAGAACTAAATCAGTCTAAATAGGGGAAGAACTTAATCAGTTCTGAATGTGTGTGCTTCGAAGTGTGTTAGTCGCTCAGTTGTGTCCAACTCATTGTGATCCCATGAACTCTAGCCCACCAAGTTCCTCTGTCCATGGAATTTTCCAGGCAAGAATATTGGAGTGGGTATCCATTCCACTCTCCAGGGGATCTTCCTGAGCCAGGGGTCAAACCCAGGTCTTCTACATTGGAGGCAGATTCTTTACTGTCTGACGCACCAGGGAAGCCCAAAAGTGGGAGTTTTAGTCCCTCAGTCATTTCCCACTCTTTGTGACCCCATGAACTGTAGCCCACCAGGCTCCTCTGTCTATAGAGCTTTCAAGGCAAGAATACTGGAGTGAATATCCATTCCTTTCTTCAGGGGGATCTTCCTCACCCAGGGGTTAAACCCAGGCCTCCTGCATTGCAGGCAGATTCTTTACCATCTGAGCCACCAGGGAAGCCCTTGTGTGTTTCAAGACAGGTCCTATTTTTTGTAGTTGTTCATTCATTTTTGTTGTTGTTCAGTTGCCAAGTTGTGTCTGACTTTTTGCGATACCATGGAGTGCAGTACGCCAGGCCTCCCTGTCCCTCACCGTCTCCCAGAGTTTGCCCAAGTTCCTGTCCATTGAATCGGTGATGCCATCCAACTATCTCATCCTCTGTCACCCTCTTCTCCTGCCTTCAGTCTTTCCCAGCATCAGGGTCTTTTCCAGCATCAGGGTCTTTTCCAAAGAGTCATTCATCCATTCAGCTAAATTTTCTGCCAGGAATGTGTCCAAATCCTGAGAATATAGCAGTGAACAAAATAGAATGCCCTTGCTTTAGGGAGCTTACGTTATCGAGGAAAGCTGGTTGATTTACTGTAGGAAGGGGTCAGAGCTGTGATGGAATGTGAAAGTGCCACCGCACCGCAGTGACATTCGAGCAGAGAATGGTGCGGTTCAGCAAACAAGAACATTTAAATAAAACGTCTTTCTCTCCCTCAGGTTAGAGAATCAGTGATAAATCGTTTTCTCATTGCGAAACACCATTTTCTTCTTTCGGATTTGATAGTAGAAGAAGAAGTTCCCAATATCAGGTAAAAAATATATATATTTTTTTGTTATTTCTTGTGTTATATTATATTAAATATTCCCTGTAAATGTAAGATTTTTATCAGTGTACGATATGCGTTTGGCCCCCTAACAGTACTAGAAACTGGTAAAGCCTGATGAACGCCTGATGTCAGATTCTCGGGGGCTTCTGTTAGCATGCGTCTCACGAGACCCTCTCCATCACACTCCAGTGGACCCCACCTCCCCTCCCACCACCCCCAGGGCACTTGCCCAGCCTTGGCCACTTTGCATTCCACACGTGAAGTGTGACGGCATCCTTTCCAGGACATCGTCCTCCTGCCTTCATCACCTCCCGGGGCCAGGGTCTCCCCCACTCCTCTGTCACAGGGCAGTGGGGTGGCCAGAATTATCCCGCTGAGATTCTGAGCGGCAGGGAAAGGTTCCAGCACTGCTGCTGGGAGGCACAGAGCTGCCCTGCATTTGGTGGCGGGTGGGCAGCCGGGGAAAAGGGACATTTACATAGAAGTTGGGAATTGACTCTATTTGTTTGCTAGATCATCTCCCTATCATTTAGAATAATCCTCAAATGGTCTCAAGTCGAGGTAGATGCATGAAAGATGAGAGAGAACTTTCTATATTGGTGGGCTTGTGCAGTCCGTTAACCTCATGACCCTTCCTGTGGTTAAATCTCTTGGTCTCCTGAAAGGGCTTCCCCGGTGGCTCAGCTGGTAAAGAATCCGCCTGCAATGTGGGAGACCTGGGTTCAATATCTGGGTTGGGAAGATCCCCTGGAGAAGGGAAAGGCTACCCACTCCAGTATTCTGGCCTGAAGAATTCTGTAGACTGTATAATCCATGGGGTTGCAAAGAGTTTTTGCACAAAGTCACAAAAAGTCTTTGGACATATGTTGCAAAGTCGTTGGACACGACTGATGGTCTCCTGAAAGGTTATTTCCTATGCATGGACTTCCTCTCGACCACCCAGTTGGCAGGGAGACAAAATGCTGGTGCAATCCATGGTCACCCCTTTTGCTGGTTTTGCCTCCATCCTCATACAGAAGGGAACCTGTGCCCACAGAAGATTCATGTAAACCCTCTCTCTATTCCAGGCCCAGAGTCCAGTCATTGAATGTTTTCTTTTTCAATCATGAAAATTACATTTTAGAATAGATGATGATTTTTTCATGCTGTTTTTCCATTTCTTTTCTTTCTTTTTCTTTTTTCTGCTTTACTTTTCTGCATTAAGTTCTGAAGGCTCAGGGTATGTTCTTTCTTCTTTTCATTTTGGTTTGTTCTTGGCTTTAGATTAAGATATTTCTGTATATAATAGCCCAGCCACCAAGATGTTCTCATGCTGACTAAGGGGACAGCTAAGTCTTGTGACAGGAGACATCCCTCGGGGAGGAAGAAAGTGCTGAGGAAAGAAGGGATGTGCTTTGTTACAACCTCCTGGCAAAGTTTCTTCCCTGAGGTTCCCAAGTCTGGGTTAGGCAGGTGTCCTGGCAGAGTGATTAAAAAGATGGGCTATAATTTGTGACAGCATGGATGAACTTTTAAGGGCATTCTATTAAATGGGATGAGTCAGAGAAAGATAAGATCTCTGGGATTCTCACTTATATGTGGAACCTAAAAGAGCCAAACTAATAAGAACAGAGACTAGACTGTTGGTCACAAGAGGCTTGGGGCAGGGGGGCGATTGGGGGGATATTTAAGGGTAGAAGGGCATAAGCCTGCAACCAGTAGATAAATAAGGCCTAGAGATCTAATGCACATCGTAGTGATTATCATCAACAATATAAACTTCAAGGGTGCTAAGAGACTAGATCTTAATTGCTCACACCACAAAAAAAAAAAAAAACAATAATTACCTGAAGTGATAGACAGAGGTGTTGGCTAATGCTACCTATGGTGGTAACCATATTGCTATTTATAAATGTATCAAACCAATCTACCATACACTTTGAACTTATACAGTGTTATATGTCAACTACATCTCATTAAAATTCTAAAATTAAAATGTGCGATAAATCAAAAAAAGGCATTTGCAAAAATGTAAAACAGTGTCACTCTCCTCACACACTTGGTTTTGGAAAAGATGGTTATTTTTCACAATTTTACATCACGTTTTTATATAACGTGCTTATGCTTATCCCAAATGAGTTAATGAAAAGATATACGCAGATATTCAAAGAAGAAGTTGGGCTGTCAAGTCAGGGTGATTTGGGCTTGAACCCCAGCTCCCTCTCCTCCTATTTAGGAGCCTCCAGCAAATTCTATCACCTCTCAGAGCCTCCAGTTTCTTCATATGAAAAATGGGGTAATACCCTTGTAAGGCTTAGAAAGAGTATACGTAAGGCCCCTAGCACTCTGCTTGAGCTGTAGCGGTGCTGGTAAACGGTAGCTCCTCTGTGCTCCCTTCGAAGGCCCTGGGGGCTCACGGAACCACACCCCGGGAGTCCTTTGGGAGTCGTCTCCCCGGGTTGGCACATGCCTCTTGGAAGGCGGGCTCCAGGGCAGCCTGCTCTTCCGTACTCACAGAGAAGAACAGCCTGAGTGTTGCCAGCCTGAGGCCAGCTCTGCGCAGCCAGCCTTGCTCTGTGACTGTCGGGCTTAGCCATTCACATCAGCTTCCCGATACGAAGTCTCCGAGGTGCTCTCTTTAGTCTCTGGGGCAAAATTAAACTCTGTTCCCTGGCCCTTCTGATTCACAGACTGCATTGCTTTCACCTTCCAGGAAGTGTTCATGGGTGTCATCTCAGTGAGAGGCAGAGACAGAGAGGTAGAGAGACCCCCCTGCCCCCCACCCCCCCCTCCTCCTGTCTCCATCCCCTCCTTTCTCCAGCATAGTCACTGGCATCGTGACCGTGTCATCATCACAACAGTCACTGTGTTAGGGCGCCTGCTAATGCTAGGCCCGTACTCAGGGGCTTTGTGTATACTCCTGGCTTAGTCCTCTCAACAACCCCAAGAGGTAGGTATCAATATTCCATTTTACAGATGACGAAACAGAGATGGCACGAGGTGAAGTGATTTGCCCAAGGTGAGCGGGACACACTGGCCTGGAAATACAGGCCCCAAAAAGCGGTAGAACTGCAATGAAGTAGGTCAGTGAGCAAGGCCTTCAGTGTTGCAGGATCGGCAGGAGCAAAAGCGGACAGTCGGCGAGCTCAGGCCACGTTTGAGGGGCTGGGGGTGAGCAAGGCAGAGATCAAAGCAGGAGGCGCAGGGCAGGGCCCAGAGCCCGAGTCACCTGCCGCGGACCAGGAGCTGCTAAAATAGTGTGTTCGTCATCGATGCAGCGGGTCTCCCCATCTTGGGAGAATGTCTTGACAATTCCCACCCCTCCTCAAGGAGACAAAGAGGTTTTCAGGGGCCCGTGAGGGAGGCTGGGACAGAGTGTGGGAAGGCGTCTCGTGAAGTTTCCCGGTCTTTCTTTTCCCTGGAGTCCTAACTCTGTTCTGTGATCATTAGCATTTTGGGCCTGAGCCTTTTCAAGCTGGCAGAACAAAAGCGACCACTGAGGCCAAGGAGAAAAGGCCGGAAGAAGGTGACAGCCCAGAACCTGTCGGACGGAGACATAAAGCTGCTGGTGAACATCGTCCGGGCCTATGACATCCCGGTGAGGAAGCCGACGGCAAGGTGAGCGCCCTGCGCGCCGGCCTGGGATGGGAGGGGCAGGATCCCACCTCTTCACCGTGTGTTCAGTCTCATCATTAACCCACTTGTCGCTCTGTGCGGGCGGAGGGAGGGATGGGGTGAGGGAGCGCGTTCTTGATGATGTCGGGGCCCCGTTGGTTCCAAGCAACGGAACCAAGGTGGCGCTAGAGGTAAAGAACCCATCTGCCGATGCAGGAGACGCGGGTTAGATCCCTGGCTCTGGAAGATCCCCTGGAGGGGGGCATGGCAACCCACCCCTTTCTTCTTGCCTGGAGAATCCCATGGACAGAGCCTGGAGGGCTGCAGTCCATGGGGCTACAGAGAGTCAGACATGACTGAGCACAGCACAGCACGGCAGAACCAAATCAGTCTTTAGGGTAAAGAGCGGTTTTGTTGGCCATATCTCACAGAACAAGAGGACATCAGATACGGTGGAGCCACATGGGAGACTCTAAAGGTTAAGCTGGCGTCTTCAGAGGCCCCTTGTCTCTCTTGCTCGCTTCCTTCTGTGAATTTGCTCCATTCTTTGTGTGACGGAAGTGATTCATCCTCGCCAGTTCCACCCCCAGCCATCGGTTCCCCAAAAGGTCCTAACCCGGGTCGGGTGTTGATCCACACCTAGTTACCTACAGTCAGGAGTGGGTTCTCAGGGACCGTCCTGAAGACTGGGGAGAGTCCCCAGAGAAGTAGGTCACAGCTGGGTAGATACCCCAAAGGTGCATGTTCTAGACTCTGTGAGCACAAAACCGCGACTTCTCTGTTATCTGCTCAGAGAAAGGAATTATACCTACTGTATTTCATACACTGGGGCAGTGGGGACTCCTCAACCATAGGGAAGTGTTGTATAACCGATTAGTTGTATCCGACTCCTTGAGACCCCATGGACTGTAGCCCACCAGGCTCCTCTGTCCATGGGATTCTCCTGACTAGAATACTAGATTCCCTTCTTCAGGGGATCTTCCCTACCCAGGGCTCAGACCCGGGTCCCCTGCATTGCAGGCAGATTCTTTTACTGTCTGAGCCACCAGAGAAACCCAACTATAAGTAAGGTGAGCCTAAATTTCTTAGCCCTTTGGAGAACAGACACAGAAGGACCAAGAATTACTTCTCTTTGCTGGTGCCCTTACCAGTGTGAGGAAGGAGGCTATACTTTATTGTACATTCACCGTGTTCTAGGCGCTATGCTAGGCACTTTCATATCTATAATTTCACTTATTTCTCACTACTATTACTGTCTCCATTTTACAAAAGGGCGAATGGAAGTGAAGAGCGTGTCATGGCTTGCCCAAGGGCCTCCAGCTGTCTGATTACGAAACTGCCCTGTTCTAGCCTGGGCCTTTCCTCCCTAGGTTCTTCCCTTTAAATGATCTATCCACTCCCACCATCTATTATTTTGCCCTACTTTTTTCTTCTGCTAACTCTTCTACCCATCACAGAACATCTAATCATCACCAACTATGCCCAATGTTTTGTCACATTTTGTTTAGTAAATGTCTGTCTAAGCTCTTGAATCTGTGCCATAGCATTGCTTCCTAAAGTCACATCCCAGCCTTTTCATCTTGATCCCATTAAAGCTCAAATGTGGGGTGAAAAGCTGTTTTTTTTAAAAAGAATAGGCAATAAGTATTATTTTTTTGTTTCTATGAAGTTTTTTAAGATTTAAACGATTTCATAAAAATCATTACAAAGAAGCATAGTTGATCCTATTGTTTTACATTCAGTGTAGACTCATCAAGTCAGCTCAGATACCAACTCTTGCACTAAACCCCCCCAGATCTTAGCCCTCTCCCCTTACAACTAAACTAAATAGGATTTTCAGTACTCTCTCTGCTCTCTTATATCCCATGCCCTCTAGTCTAACACATACCCCACTATATTATGACTATTTGTTCATCTAGTCTGAGCTAAAGTGTATCTCATTTGACTTTGCAGCCCCAGAGTCTAACAGATTGCTAAAATATAGCAGGTACTTAACAGATGTTTGTGTAATAATGTAATTGCCAGTGTTCCAAACAGGAAAAGGTTTTCTCTGGTAGCTGTAGAGTTGGATGTTCCACTTTCCTTGTCTCATAGTTTGTCTGAAACCCTTTCTGTGAAAAGGTAAGAGAGCCTGGTGGAAAGAGACAAGGTGTACTTTGCCAAGGAATGTGAAATACTAGATACACCAGAAAATTCAAAACAAATATGCAAGTGGGTTTTTGGGATGAGGGGGAAGGGGTCGGGGAGAGGATCTCTGGACATGACCTTCACTTCTTCCTTCACGAACGGCAGTTCAAAAGGGAAAGAGGACAAGACTCATAGATCCTAACTCGAGCCAGGAATCACTGACCACCTTTTGCCAGTGATGCTTGGCAGGCTCAGAGAGAGATGTCTTACCTGGGACGTGTAGCCCAAGCTTCCTGGAGCATGAAGGTTCAGAGAAGATACAGTGAGAGAGGACCTGAATTGGATGGAGACAGAGCAGGCTGGTTAGGCAGCTCAGGATTCTGCTACTTGAAAGGGACTGCTGCTCTCAATCATGGGGGAAAGGCACCCATGAGAGTGTAGAGAGAAGAGGTCTCTTTCTTCTATTCCAGCCAGGCATGCAGACCTGAGGAAGGACGTTGGAAAGGTTCTAGTAGTCACCAGGTGAGTAGGGAGGACCAGAGCATATGAGAAGACTTCTAAAGCATCAACAAGCTTTGCAAGAATGTCTGCCAGGATAACTATTCAGACCAAACGTCTTTGGAGAAACCACCTGCTCAGTAACATAACTAGACTTTCCTCATCATTTATTTCTTCTGTTCATTTTCCACTCCCAGTAAATTCCACCAGACATCAAGATCTTCAAGGACCTACAGTGAAAAGCATGTGGCTTCTCCGACAACACACAGCCCAGTCCACAATGCCGACTACCCCCTCGGGCAGGTGAGACACCCAAGTGCTGGATCTCTGCTTAGCATCTTGCCACTTGTGTTTTTAAGAATTGCCTAGAAAGTTCATAATCCATTTTCTGTCTCATTTTCCTTGGAAATATATTATCTAGAATCATGTTTTTCCTCTGCTCAGAACAAAATAATTCTACTAAACTGTTACAGACTGTTTTCTCTTGACTAAAAAAAAAAAAAATAGTATAGAAATTTATTAAAAGTATATGCATAAACTTCCAGTTTCTGCTCAGGATTTAGCGAGCTGAAAAGTGTTTCAATCCTAAACTGAAACAAACCAATAACAAAAAAATCCAGCTACACAAAAACTGTACATGTTCTTTTTTTTTTTTAAGGTTTTAGTACGTCCTTTTGTAGAAGTTTCATTTCAGCGAACCATCTGCCATACAACTACTGCAGAAGGACCAAACCCCAGCTGGAATGAAGAACTTGAACTTCCGTTTAGGTAGGCATATTTTCATCAGACCACAAGTGATTCCAATCAAGGGGGAAAAAAAAATGGGAACATGTCCAGCTTTTGAAATGTGGGTTCATTGTTAGCATACCCCACTCCACTCCAGGTTCTGGTTCCTTAGAGCCCAAGCTTTCCACTCCCTTGACCCCACAGGCCCTACACTGATTTTCTTTTCATCCCTCTCTCCCCAGCTCTGGGCCTTAAGTAATTTCAAACCCAGATCTCCTTCATTGCAGGTGGTCTCCTGCATTTTGGGTTGTTTCTTTACCAACTGAGCCACCAGGGAAACAGAACTAGTTAAGTCAGAAGACAAAGAGGAGGGGGGAAAAGAGAGAGAGAGAAACAGATACCACTTTTCTACATAGTATAAGCAAAAAGAATAGCCAAGTTCAAGGCCAGTGCTCAGCCAAGCAGGTGCAGTGGCCGGGTCTGGAGCCGTGCCGTGGAGAGGCCTGCTCTGGCCAGGCCCGGCGGAACTCAGAGCAGTTGGTGTTGTAGCAGATGAACCTCCCCTCGGCCTTGGTTTATCAGTGGGGAAAGTGAGTGGGGGAGCTTCCCTGGTGGCTCAGTGGTAAAGAACTCACCAACCAATGAAGGAGACACGGGTTCAATCCTTGGGTGGGGAAGATCCCCTGGAGGAGGCATGGGCAACCACTCCAGGATTCTTGCCTGGGAAATCCCCTGGACAGAGAAGCCAGGCAGGCTACAGTCCATGAGGTCACAGAGAGTCGGACACGACTTAGCAACTAAACAACGACAACGACTATGCTGTAGGGTCCCCATGCTGGAGAAATCCTTTAACTGAAAGCACTGCCATTAGCCCTCATTTCTTTGCTCATATTCAGGTGTTGGTCCTGCTTGGACATTTGAGTGCTCATTATTTCTCTTTTGCTCCTTTCGTGTCCTCTGATGGTGGTACGCATTTGCAGGGCCCCCAACGGGGATTACAGCACCACTAGCCTGCAGTCAGTGAAAGATGACGTGTTCATCAACATCTTTGATGAAGTGCTGTATGACGTCTTAGAGGTGAGCTCACGTTTTTGAGGAAGATGTCTGCACTTGTTTTCGTATCCTTTACCTGCCGTGCAGGTCCTGTCAGGCAGGAGAAATTTTCCCCTTATTGTTGTGCGCTCTTTTGGATGGTCTGATAATTAAGCTGACCCAAGACAGATTAACAGGGGGGAAAGAAGCCAACCTTTAATTTAATTTGACATACAGCCTTTAATTGTACGTACAGAAGTCTCATAGATACAGGATCTACTAAGTGACCAAGGCAGACAGCTTTTGCACCTTTTGGACAAAGAAATGATACATATTGAAGAGGTGACAGGACAAGGGCGTCTGGACTCAGGTGGTAAATTGGTAAAGGCTGACAGGGCGCATTTGTGCAGCCTCCTTGGCCCTGGAGTCCTCGTCTCTGGTGAAAAGGTGTCTCTCTACACAGGATGCAGGGAGGGTACCTTTCCCCAGGGTAGGGCGGACTGTTATTTCCTGCTTTCTGGAGACTGGAGACAAAGGCGGGTCCGGCCCTTCTTGTACCAGCTGTTTTTCAGGTAACTTGAATTCAAAATAATCAATATGCCACTTTGGCAGACCTGAGGGCAGCCTGCCCCCGAGTACCATCGGTCCCCAAATTCGGGATGTTTGAAACCTGACAAGTATGAATGAGGAACGGGAGGAGGCAGGAAGAGGAACAGCTTTTTTTTTTTTTTAAGTTGTATTTATTTATCTTTGGCTGTGCCGGGCCTTTGTTTCTCTGAGGGCTTTCTCTAGCTGCTCTGCGAGGTCTTACTGCCGTGGCTTCTCCTGTTGCGGTTCACTGGCTCTAGGGCGCATGGACTTAGTTGCTCCACGGCATGTGGGATCTTCCAGGATCAGAGGTCAAACCCGTGTCTCCTGCATTGGCAGGCGGATTCTTAACCACTGCGCCCCCAGGGAAGCCTGAGAACCAGCCATTTTATTTTCAATTTGAGTGTCTGCTATGATCCAGGAATTGTGCGAATTATTAGCACATTGCCTTAGTTCTTTATAAGCACATTATCTTAATTCTAAAATAACCCTATGAAACAGATTATTGTTTTTTTGTTGTTTTTTTTTCTTTTTTAAAAAATATTTATTTATTCATTTGGCTGCACTGGGTCTTAGTTGTGGCATGTGGGAGTTAGTCCCCTGACCAGGGATTGAACCTGGGCTCCATGTATTGGAAGTGCAGATTCTCAGCCACTGGACCACCAGGGAATTCCCCAAAGTAGACTGTTAAACTCCCAATTTACTGATGAGGAAACTGAGGTCCAGAGAGGTAAATGACTTTTCTAGTTTTTACATAACTATTAAGTGCCTCAACCAGAATGTGACTTAGATCTGTTTAACCTAAACCTACCGTGCTTTCAGCTAAAATCCTGCTGCTTTCCTGCTGTCGAGTTACTTATTAAATGACTGTCTGGAGTTGTTAAACAATTATGACTTCCCACCCCTCCTTTAGGACGACCGTGAAAGAGGAAGTGGAATCCACACTCGTATTGAAAGACACTGGCTGGGGTGTGTGAAAATTCCATTCAGCACAATATATTTCCAAGCAAAGGTAAGCATCTGAAGTCAGACTTCCATGGCAACGGGGAACTGATCGATCCAGTTTTCCTGTTACAGCTTACTTTGTAGAGGTATACCCTTAACACTGGGGCTTCCTTGGTGGGTTAGTAGTAAAGAATCCACCTGCCAATGCAGGAGATGGGGGCTCGATCCCTGAGTCAGGAAGATCCCCTGGAGAAGGAAATGGCAACCCACTCCAGCATCCTTGCCTGGGAAACCCCATGGACAGGGCAACCTGGTGGGCTACAGTCTGGTGCCACAAGAGTCAATTGGATACAACTTAGCAAATGAGCTGGAGCACCCTTACCCCTGAGAGAACTGATGTGCAAGGTCATTATTGGAAAGACAAAAGTCACTGTACAAAGCCAGTTATCTTCTGTCATACTTGCATGACTTACTAAAACAATCTTCCTGACATTTAGTAGTTCAGGTACTACTTTTGCAGTGTGATAGTTTTTTTAACACTTAAATAGATGTGAAGGAGGTAGGACAAAGTAGAAACTTGTCAAAAATGACAGGAGTGGATAGATGCCTCAGAATAACTTGAAGAAAACAATCAGGCCAGCTGATGGCCCCTTTAATCAAGTGCATTCATGTTTCCAGAGGCCTCGCTATTTCAGAAATGAACAACAGTTGACTCGCTCAACTAAGTACCGTTCTTCAGAGTTTAACCATTTTGTGTAAGAGGATCCATCAGGTTAACAGTTCCTGAATGGCAGAGTAGCTCTAAATCTGGGACAGTTAAAGGTTTTAAAAAGGCTTTAACTTCCCAGTATTAAATCCATAGCAACAGGAAGCTTTGAAGCCAAGTCGTGCTAATCTCACACAGCTACAGAGGAGACAGTTTAATTCCATACGTGATGACCACATGGAACAAATGCTGCCTCGTTGACAGCCTCAGGCAAGACCCAGAACAAAACTCCAGTCTGAGAGGCTTGAATTGGTTGGAATATCAGGAATCATTTGGCATTGCAATCTTCCCTAAACCAAAGGGACCGTCTACAGGTAATGCTGCAGCTATATGCTTGCCAGAAACTCTACACATTCCTCTTGGACTGATTTGAAATGAGAAATAGAATTTAAAGAGCACATCATTTTGCAAATCCCCATGTTACTTGGCATCACCCTAGGAAGGGTACTCAGAAGTAGTTACTCCAAATCCCTTCCCGATAAAGGAATAAACTTCTTTTGGTGTGTGTGTGCGCTTTATTTTTTTTTTCATTTATTTTTATTAGTTGGAGGCTAATTACTTTACAATATTGTAGTGGTTTTTGCCATACATTGACATGAATCAGCCATGGATTTACATGTATTCCCCATCCCGATCCCCACTCCCGCCTCCCTCTCCATCCCATCCCTCTGGGTCTTCCCAGTGCACCAGCCCTGAGCAACCGTCTCATGCATCCAACCTGGGCTGGTGATCTGTTTCACCCTTGATGGTATACTTGTTTCAATGCTGTTCTCTCAGAACATCCCACCCTCGCCTTCTCCCACAGAGTCCAAAAGTCTGTTCTGTACATCTGCGTCTCTTTTTCTGTTTTGCATGTAACTTCTTCACTATGTTTTGGTAACAGCCACACTCTGGTTGAGTGCCCTAGCTTGCTCCCTTTCCAGTAGCTCTGTCATCAATGTCTTCTTTAAACTGTGCCATAAGCCAAGCTCCTCCCTGTTGTTGTTGCTGCTGCCCAGTCACTAAGTCTGACTCTGGGCGACCCTATGTTCTGTAGCCACCAGGGTTCTCTATCTGTGGGATTCTCCAGACAAGAATCCTTGAGTGAGTTGCCATTTCTTTCTCCAGGGGATCTTCCCAACCCAGGGATCGAACCCGCATCTTCTGCATTGGCAGGCAGATTCTTTGCCACAGAGTTGTTTTGTCTATTGAGTTGTGAGGTTTAATTAAGGTGACAAATAAACTAATCAGAAATGCTATATGATATGTGCCTGAAAAATACAGTTATTTCTATTATTATTGGGCTCCCCTAGTGGCCCACTTAATTCTATTATTATTACTGAATCAGAATTCTGTTCATTTTGTGCGGCTCCAAACCAAGACCGATGAATAATGGGTTCCAGGGAGGAACTTGGGCTTCCTAGATGGCTCAGTGGTAAAGAATCGACCTGCCAATGCAGAAATGCAGGTTCCATCCCTGGGTCCAGAAGATTCCCTGGCTTAGGAACTGGCAACCCACTCCAGTATTCTTGCCTAGAAGATTCCACGGACAAAGAAGCCTGGTGGGCTACAGTCAGTGGGGTCGCAGAGTCAGACATGAGTGAGCTACTGAGCACGCACTCATGCACTAGCAGGGACATAACTGGTATCTAGTGTACTGAGGCCAGGAAAGCTGCAAATGCCCTACAACACCCAGGCCTGCCTCCAAAACAGAGCTATCTCGTCCCAACACCGACAGTGCCCAAGGTGAGAAACTCTGTCTTAAGTTCTTATACCTCAACTATTTGGAGACGGTGCCCATTGCCTCCTGGCTCATCTGTTATTTCAGCTGAAGTTTATATGCTGCTGTGTTTACACTCTTCTTCCCCCTGCATCCCCTCATCTGCCTGGTGCAGGCTTTCCGGAAACTCCAGCAATGTAAATGTTAGTCACTCAGTTGTATCCGACTCTTTGTGACCTCATGGACTGTAGCCCACCAGGCTCTTCTGTCCATGGGATTCTCCAGGCAAGAATACTGGAGTGGGTTGCCATTTCCTTCTCCAGGGGATCTTCCGCACCCAGGGATTGAACCCGGGTCTCCCGCACTGCAGGCAGACGCTTTAACCTCTGAGCCACCAGAGAAGATCCACCAATGCAAGGAGGAAAATAAACAAGAGCTTACTTCATTCCTCTCTGGAGAGTACAGTCACTGAAAGTTTCGGTTCTGTCTTTTTTCTGAGAAATAAATGTCGCAAAAGACTGAAATTAAAAATTGGATTCTTTGAAAATCTGTGAGTTTCAAATTCTAGCCCTGAGTAGTTTTGTGGCACCAGTCTTTCGTAAACTTGATTGTTTTGACTACAAAGGTGTAAAAATTCTGCCTTTTTGAACCTCTATGTAAGTTAGGTCATTTTATGTAAGTGGCTTATAATTCATTCAACCTGCATTTATTGAGCACCTCCTGTGTATGTACACAAAACAGTGTTATATATTGGAGAAGGGTGATACAAACAGTAATACAATACAGCTTCTATGTGCAGAGAACAATAATCTATAAGTATATGCTAAATACACACACAACAAAGTCTGGCAGAAAGTGTCAATGCGATAAATGAAAGAAGCAAGCTACATGTGAGGCTGGTAGAGATGACAAAACAAACCACAAAGGAGATGATATCTGACCTGAGCCTGAAAAATGAATTCTAAAATGTGGAGACCAGGAGCTGGGCATCCTAGCAAAGGGGACTTTCTGCCAGCTAACACTTATCAAGGGACAGTCATTTTAGTGTTTTACATCTACTAGTCCACACATAATTACCCTACAAAGCAGGTACTATTATTGTTTCCTTTTTACAAATGCACAAGTTGAGTCACTTGGGGTTTAATCCAGTGTTTGAACACAGGCAACCTAGTGTGGGAAAGACTGAAGGCAGGAGGAGAAGGGGATGGCAGAGGATGGGATGGTTGAATGGCATCACTGACTCCATGGACATGAGTTTGAGCAAACTCCGGGAGGTGGCGAAGGACAGGGAAGCCTGGTGTGCTGCAGTCCATGGAGTTGCAGAGAGATGGAAACGACTGAGCCACTGAAGAACCACCACCACCTAGCGCTGGTGTCAACTTGCACAACTAGTACAGGCTCTGCTGAGCCAAGCAAAGCCAGCAAGGAGAGAGAGCCTTGCTGAGGGGGCGTAAGGAGGCACGCCTGGAGACACGGGTGGGCCCGGAATACTGGTCTGAGCAGCTTCTACTGAGTTCATCAGATGATGGGGAGCTGACACCTGCCTTTGAACTTCTATTGGAAAATCACCAGGATGCTTCAGTTTGGCTCAGTTGCTCAGTCGTGTCTGTCTCTTTGTGACCCCATGAACCGCAGCACGCCAGGCCTCCCTGTCCATCACCAACCTCCAGAGCTTGCTCAAATTCAAGTCCATCGAGTCGATGCCATCCAACCATCTCATCCTCTGTCGTCCCCTTCTCCTCCTGCCCTCAATCTTTCCCAGCATCAGGGTCTTTTCAAATGAGTCAGCTCGTCACATCAGGTAGTCAAAGTGTTGGAGCTTCAGCTTCAGCATCGTCCGTCCAACGAATATTCAGGACTGATTTCCTTCAGTATGGACTGGTTGGATCTCCTTGCAGTCCAAGGGACTCTCAGGAGTCTTCTCCAACACCAGCTCAAAAGCATCAGTTCTTCGGCGCTCAGCCTCTTTACGGTCCAGCTCTCACACCCATACAAGATTACCCTCTCTCGCTCTCGCTAGGACGCTTACTGAGTTGTACTTTCTTCACAGATCGATGGGACGTTTAAGATCAGTGTTCCCCCAGTGATCCTGGGCTACAGCAAGGAGCGAAGCATGGTGACGGAGCGGGGATTTGACTCTGTCCGGAGCCTGAGTGAAGGCTCTTACATCACCCTGTTCATCACCTTGGAGCCTCAGCTGGCTCCTGGGGAGTCAGTTCGAGAAAAGGTAACTGTGTACTCTCTGGAATCCCACATGAGACGTGGACAAAATGTGAGAGAGGCCTGCTAGGCTATGCTTTCGTAAAATTGGACTGAACAGATAAGCATCTTGAGCATCTTACTTGAGCGTCTATTATTACATTCAGAGGGGAGCTTCCAAACCGTGAGAGAGCAGGCTGTGACGGGGGCCGACAGGCCGAAAACCAGAGGGGCCTTTGCGCTGGGCATTCTTCCCAGGCACTGACCTCCTGCTGCAGGAGTTTTAAGAGCCCTGTGGCCTGCCTTCCTTGAAATGAGATGGCGAAGCTGTCAGCGGCTGCCGCCAGTGGCCTTTCACTGCCCCACTGTGGCTGTAGCTGGCATTTCTCTTAGACCTCCAAGATGCGGGCTTAAAAAATCCCTCTGAAATGCAAACTCACCTCTCCTGTGCACTGACAGGACCCTGGCGCCCTAAACACACAGCAGCAGAAGCCACCACTCAGGGAGCCCCTGCAGGCTTTTCAGGAGAGAGGTTCTTGCCCTAAATAGTAGGGACCATAACCTGGAATTGATTTTCTGCTCAACAGTAACTGCCAGGATTAGCAGATTAGTCTTCCCCCCACCATCATCCCATGCTGAGCCATACCGTGTGATTTTTTTAAAAGGGATTTACTCATGGAATTGTCTAAAAAAATCAATAGTAACTCCTGAAACTCTTATTTTAACATTCCCTACTTTGTCGTGGTAAAAACGAAAGTGTTTTAAAGTAGATTGTTTCTGTTACTGAAGTCTTCCTCTTATTTTCTTTTTTTCTTTCTTGCTTCTGATAGATGGGTGACATGCTTAAAAAGGTACCATGTATTTTGTTTTGCTGTCCATCAGTCAGTGGTTATTGGGCTTTAATCACGTGCTCCTGTCCTCTGCCTCATTATGGAAGCTGCTGGGTCCTAATGTATGTGTCATCCCTTGGCCAGGAACTACAGACGTCTGCAGTTCATGCCTAGTTTTGTCTCTGGGCCCATTTCATCTTGTCAGAAAGATTCTTATTTAGCTCTGAATCTGGAAGTCACGTGTCAGAATGTCACCTGCATACTGGGAGCCACCTCCACCGTTTCCAAGCCCATAAAACCCATGAGCTGCTTCTTACAGAAGCAGTGTGGCTGTGACAGTTATTTCTGGCCAGTGGAGCTGCCACAGTATAGGTAGTCAAGGAGAGGGAAAAAAAAGAAAACATTCAATTTTCTGTATATATTCACATTAACCAAAAGTTAAGGAATTGAGTCAGTTAAGAATCTTCCAGATTTCATGCTGAATCAATTGTGAATTTCTTGGTTCTACCTTTATTTGTTTTATAATAAATAACCCCAACCCTTTTAGTATTTAGCTTTCGCTTGGCACTTCTTAGATTACCAACTTAGCATTTCTTGTTGTTTAGTTGCTCAGTCATGTCCGACTCTTTTGCAACTCCATGGACTGTAGCCAGCCAAACTCATCTGTCCATGGAATTCTCCAGCAAGAATACTGGGGTGGGTTGCCCTTTTCTTCTCCAGGGCATCTTTCCAACCCAGGGATCGAACCTGTGTCTACTGCACTAGCAAGCAGATTCTTTACCATTGAGAAACCAGGGAAGGCCTCACCAGTTTAGCATACTACTCCTTAAATTACTGCTTCAGCCCATTAAATGGTAAACCTGGTAATCTAAACAGGTATTAACAACCATTATGAGATACCTGTTAAACGTTTACCTTACGCATCCTTGGTGCAGAGAAAAGCACAGGATGATTGACATGGGCCCTGCTCCCAAGAAGCACTGGCTATGGAGTCAAAATGCACAGCAGATATTCAAGTCCAAGTGGCAGAAGAAGTTTTATGTTGGGTTGGCCAAAATGTTCGTTCATGTTTTCCCCTAACAGCTTACAGCAAACCCAAATGAACCTTTTGGCCAACCCAGTGCATCCTTGTTTCAGCTTGGAACGCCAGCAGTCTGTGCTGACTCCAGATTTTCACTGTTCTCTCCGGACAGTGCCCATGGGTGCCTCTCCCTAATGCCTCCCTGGCACACGGTGTCTGTCCCTGTAGGATCTCTGGTCAAGTATTAGTATTTTAAGGCCCTGATTCCTTACTAATGGTCTCCTCTAGACCAGAAGTCTCTTGAGGGGTCTGCCTTATATACATTTACCCAGACTGCCTCAAACCCTTTAGACTTTCAGCAAATATGTTCAAATAATTGGATAAATGAATAAATATACAAATTAATGAGTATAAAGGAAGCAGGGATGAATTCAAAAGGGTGCTTTTTTTCACATCACCCTTGTTTCATAATTCTTGATCTTTTTAAGGTTATGATTACTTCTACCCTAAGTGTCTGTGACACACCCATACCGAAGTTTTATAAGTTCACTTTTGTTCATTTACTTATAAATTCATCATGAATTTTGCTATTTGTACCAAAATTGTACCAAATAGGTACACCTATTTGGTAGCTACCGAGTCTTGGCACTGTGCTGAATACATGGTCATAATGACGATGGTGTAATGACAATGTTGAGGTTCAGGTGGAAGCGGATGCCCTGTGAGAATACCCAGGAGGCTTTTGGAGATGCCTCCATCCTACCTCCCCCCAGTTTCTTAGAGTACAGCCATCAGATTAGAAATGGGAACCACAGTCCAGCTCCAATATAAGAGAAGTCAAAACAGCCCAAGCTCATGAGGGAGGGGATATATATACTTACGGCCGATTCATGTTGTAGAGCAGAAGCCAACACAATATTGTGAAGCAGCTATCCTCCAATTAAAATTTAAAAAAAAAATCCATAACTTATGGAATAAAAAAGGAATAATTTTATATTCTAGGTCCTATTTAAAGTCATAAAATAGTAATGGGATATTTTTTGTGCTCTCATTCATTCATTCGGTAACACTTAGTGAACACTTTACTATGTGCTGGCTAGTATCCTCGATACTGAAGATTAAAAAAAAAAAAAAAAACTAGATCAAAACAAAATCCCTGACTTCAGGAGTCCTATTCTGTGAGGGAGACAGCATAATCAAATATATCGGCAGCTTTAAATGCTAAAATAAATAAAGAGTATGAAGGGGATGTCTGGAGGTACTTCCCTACTCAAAAAAAAAAAAACTTTCAAGCACCACCTGGAACGTAAACCTTATTTAAAAGTTGACTTTCTAGTAAAATTTTGTGTTTGTCAAAGTAAGTAATCAACCATACATAAATTTTTTTACTAAGCAACAAAAATCTTGTAAGAACACTTAAATATCTGCTTTATTCATGCTACTTTTTAGCAATGCCTTTAAGGAAAAATGACACCATATGTCCAGAGACAAGTGAAATCTTCTGTTTCATCTGCTTGAGTTACTTTAAAAAGTCTGAGATTTGGCTCATCTTGGATCAGAGAACCACTTTTAAAAGCGTTTTATAAATGTTTAAGTATTATATATTTCACATTTCTAGTTCTGCTTCCTTTTACTTCAGGCTCATTACTGTTATTTATTACATTGGCTATGGATTAAAACCTTTTAACACATACATATATACTTGTTGCTTCCCAGTGGCTAAGCAGTAAAGAAGCTGCCTGCCAATGCAGGAGATGCAGGTTCGATCCCAGGTCGGGAAGATCCCCTGGAGAAAGAAATAGCAACCCATTCCAATATTCTTGTCTGGGAAATCCCATGGACAGAGGAGCCTGGTGGGCTACAATCCATGGGGTCACAAAGAGTTGCACGCAATTGGGCACAGATGCATGTCTATATACTTATAAATCTGTTGTCCTTTTAACACGAGCTGCTTTACCTTTGCACTTGAAATGTTAGGTTTCTGAGTCCCTACCAACATCAATATACATACAAAACTATTGCTTGGAGTCATCAGTCAGAATCAGTACGTCATAGCTAAATTTTTATATGTTGCTTTATTAATCTAACCCTTTCCACATGGCTGTGTGCCTAGTGACTACTTTCTTGTTGCCCGGTCACTAAGTTGTGTCTGACTATCTGCGACGCCCCGGACTGCAGAACACTAGGCTTCCCTTCCTTCATTGTTTCCCAGGGTTTGCTCAAACGCATGTCCACTGAGTCGGTCACGCTCTCTGACCATCTCATCCTCTGCCGCCTCCTCCTCCTCCTGCCTTCCGTCTTTCCCAGCATCAGGGTCTTTTCCAGTGAGTCAGTTCTTCGCATCTGGTGGCCAAAGTATTGGACCTTCAGCTTCAGCATCAGTCCTTCCAATTAACATCCAGGGTTGATTGCTTTTAGGATTGACTGGTTTGATCTCCTTTCAATGCCAATTTTAAGTATTCAATGAGTCCATCTGATTTTAGGTTATAAAAATAATTAAATAAGGCTTTAGGAACACCGGGGCATGACACTGTTGTAAGGGGGTCACCGAATCACACCCTGAAGCGCACATTGAGTCCACGTGGACTGCGGGATCCCAACAGGTTCCACCATACCTCCTATAATCATACACGTCTTTACTTTTAAAGTTTGATTCTCAGGAAGATGAGAAATTGCTTCAAGCAACAGAGAAGTTTCAAGCTGAGTGTGCCTTGAGGTTTCCCAACCGGCAGTGCCTCACCACAGTGGTTGATGTTAGCGGAAAGACCGTCTTCGTCACTCGTTATCTCAAGCCTTTAAACCCTCCTCAGGAGCTGCTTAATGCTCACCCCAGCGGCCCCCAGGCAACAGCGGTAAGCATTTCATTGCGAATCAGTGTCCGCGCTTAGAAGGTTTTAAAACTCAGTATGTGAAAGTCGCTCAGTTGTGTCTGATGCTTTGCGACCCCATGTACTGTATGTAGCCCGCCAGGCTCCCCTGTCCATGGAATTCTCCAGGCCAGAATACTGGAGTGGGTAGCCATTCCCTTTTCCAGGGGATCTTCCCAAGCCAGGGATCAAACCCCCGTCTCCCGAATTGCAGGCAGACACTTTATAGTCTGAGCCGCCAGGAAAGCCCAACTTCAGAGTTCAAGTTAAATATTCATTTTGAAATTTCTAGATTAACAACTTAAAAGAATCTTAAACATTGGGTATAACTTCCAAACTAGCAGAAGATAAAATAACAAAACGGGGTAAAGAGGGTGAGGAGGGGATAAAAACACAGAAAAAGTGTGAAAAATAAGAAGCACAGAATAAGGTAGGAGAAATAGTCTAAATATTTACCAGTAATCACAATCAAAGTGAAGGGATTAAACTTTCCAGTTAAAACACAAAGACTGTAAAGCGAGATTTTTAAAAGAGTTTGTGGTGGAATCTGACACAGATTCTAACATTTATACAGCAGCACAAAGAGCCAAAAATAGCAAAATAATCCTGCAGAGTAAGAAGCACTCAGTGGAAGATCCACCATGTCACAGAGCCACGAAGGTAAAAATCGCACCGACGCCCAAATGAAGAGCAAAATGGAAGAGAACTTAAAAATCCAGAATAGGGCTACCCAAATAGGACCCACTCAAACCTGATGTATGGCAAAGCTGGCACTGGAAATTAGTAAAGGAAAAACCAACTATTACATAAATTGTACTGGGATCACTGATTTTACATATGGAAAAAAAGATAAAAATCCAGTCCTGCTTCACACCACTCAACAGATAGACTGAGAACTTCAATATGAAAGGCATTTTTATCCATGAGACGTGATAGAGGAAAGCATCCATGGTGGCTCAGAGGTTAAAGCATCTGCCTGCAATGTGGGAGACCCAGGTTCAATCCCTGGGTCAGGAAGATGCCCTGGAGAAGGAAATGGCAACCCACTGCCTTTAACAAGCCAGAAAAAAGCACTGACTACAAAGAGAAAGAATAAATTAAACCACATTAAATTAGACCACATTAAAACTGAGAACCTGAGTTTAACAACAACAACAAAAAAAAAACGCACAAAGGAAATGAAAAGACAAGCCACAATTGGGAGAGGATATTTACAGCTTATATAATAGACAAAGGAATAGTAACTAAAATATATTTTTTAAAAACTACAAATCAACTTTATTTTTTTTCCATTTATTTTTATTAGTTGGAGGCTAATTACTTTACAGTATTGTAGTGGTTTTTGTCATACATTGACACGAATCAGCCATGGATCCACATGTGTTCCCCATCTGATCCCCCCTCCCACCTCCCTCTCCACCTGATCCCTCTGGGTCTTCCCAGTGCACCAGGCCGGAGCACTTGTCTCATGCATCCAACCTGGCCTGATGATCTGTTTCACCCTAGATAATATACATGAAAAACTACAAATCAACTTTAAAGTGTACAACATACTTAAATACAAAGTCACAGAAGTGGAAACATGAAGGGCCAGTAAGCATATAAAAAGACGTTCGTCCTCCTTAGTAATTACAGAAATATGAATGACAACCACAGCAATGCACCAGTCTTGGCTTCTAAATACCACTATTTAAACGCAAAGATTTGGATACGACTTAGCAACTGAACAACAGCTATCTAAACGGAACCAGAACTTATTAGAGAAATGTGTGCTCAGGAAAATAAAAGACGATCCTGGAGAGTTCTAACAGTAAGGGGAAAGGAAAAAGAAGACAAGGACATTTCAAAGACTCACAAGAGCCTTCTGTAAAAGGCTTTCTTCGTCTGTAAGAGATGGATAATAACGATAGTCTTCCTTGGGATGTTTGCAGAGGATTAAACAAGATAATATTAACACAACATTTAGTTAGCACTTGTGAGGATTCATTTTGTTCATATAAATATCTGTGATACATGAAATTTTCTTGCAAGATATGAGGTAGAGGATCCAGCTTGCTATTTTATTGGAAAAACAGTTACAGCTAATTTTGTTTAAACAGGAACTGGTGGCCCGATACGTGTCTCTGATTCCTTTCTTGCCCGACACTGTCTCCTTTGCTGGTGTCTGTGACCTGTGGAGCACTTCTGATGTAAGTATTCTTCCTCACAGACGTGCTGGCTTGAGCTGACTTCATGGAATATCAGTAAACAGCTTGCTTAATTTTAAACTGCAACACCCGTTAGTCATTATAAAAGTCTGCACGGCCATCTGTTTAACAGAATGAACTAAATTCATTCTGAAGTACTTTTTTCTTCCTGGTTCAATCCACCCAAATAAGTTAGTTAAGCAAATTAACTAATTATTTGTGCATACACACACATACACACACACACACCCCAACTTCAAATGTCTTAATGCTGATTTGTCCCCCCAAAGTTATCTTAACAACACCCCACTTTTATTGATAAAATAATCAAAACCACATTTTATATTATATTTGGAAATTGCATATCCCTTAATTTACGGGGGCTTCTTAAGGCATGTCATTATTCATTAAGTATTTCTTGGCCCCCTGTCACATGTCAGACACTGTGCAGAGTTCAGGCTATGAGCAAAATAAACATGGCCTCTGACATCTTGGAACTTACAATCAATGTATGCTAGCTACATAAACTTCCAAATGAGTCTTCAACGGTATAAACATGTATTATCACTGGTATTCATTTGGCTTCTGGGTCTCAGGTGCTGTGTTGGCATAAAGTTGAACTGTGATATACAACTCCCTTTGAAGGATGGCTCTAAAAGGAAGAAACTGAAGCACACTTTAAATTATTTGTTCGCCAGTATGTTTTGGAAGCCCACTGTTGACAATTTTAGAGATAAAATTTCACAACCTTGAGATACTTAAAAGAAGACATACAATGAATAGAAGAGCTTTGTGCCCTAGAGCCAGACTGGCTTTCCACTTCCTAGGTATTGCTTCATCTCTCTGTGCCTCCACTTCCTCATCTGTAAAATGGGAAGATGAGAGTATGGCCTTCAAAAGTTTATTCCAGGATCCAATGGACTGACTCATGCAGTGTGCTTAAAAAACAGTGTGGTGGCTGCGATGGGAGGACAGGATGTGATCAGGCAGAGCACAGAGGATTTCCAGGGCAACGAAAATATAGCACATGATACTATAATGACCGACTGTCAAACCCACAGAATGCACCCCACCAAGAGGGAGCCCTGTATGTAAACTATGGACTTTAGGTGACTATGGTGTGTCAGTGTAGGTTTATCAGCCACAACATGTGTCCCGCTCTGGTTGGGGATGTTGATGGTCGGGGAGGATGTTGACGATGTACACGTGTGGGAACAAGAAAACATGGGAAATATCTGTAGCTTCTTTCCAGCATTGCTGTGAAGCTAAAACTGCTCTAGAAAATAAAGTCTTTACAAAGAAAGTGTTAGTACAGAGGGAGCTATCATATATAAGTTTAACATGAAAACTGAAACTTTGAAATTTATCTCCCTGACCCCACACCCATAATCAATTCTAGAAATTCATGTCATTGAAATGTCACAGAAAATACCATGTCCAACTAAAATTGGGTGTTTTTGTTTAATAATATCTCTTATCCTTTAAACCACTCATTTTGAGAGTTATACAGCCCGTCTAGAGTGAAGCAGCCAATGAACATGATTTTTATTTCCTTTTGTTCAGCAATTTCTCGATCTCCTGGCAGGAGACGAAGAAGAACACGCAGTTTTACTATGCAATTACTTCCTCTCCATGGGAAAGAAGGCCTGGCTGGTGGTGGGCAATGCTATTCCCGAGGTAAGACCATTAGGCTGGCGCTCACCGAGAAGCTCATTGTCTAACATGGTGCTGTCATGTTCCAGGTCATGGGCAGCACTTATTTTCATAACAGTTCCTGGAGCTGCAAAGAAAGTAGCCCAGAGATGCCACAGTAGGGTGTGACAACCAGTGATGAGACATGCCAGGGTTTTCGGGGTACTTGAGCCCTATACGTTTGAGGATGTTCTGGGCAAATCTGAGCCCTTTTCCACCCATCACCCCCACCTGGCTCTGTCCTCCTGCCCATCTTACGAAGAGCTCTGACTCCCTCTGTGATCGAGTGCTATTCATGCCGAGGAATGAAGGGATCTGAAGAAGTGTGGCAGGGGTAGAGACACTTTCACACCTGCTTCGTCCACAAGCAGCTGCTGTTAAGCTGGCAGGCAAAGCAGAACAAGGCAGATAACCACAGGGGCAAAGAAGAGAATGTTCACGCCATATGCTGTTATCACTGGTTATTTTTATTAGACCAGAAATAGAAACTATGAAAATTTGTTTCCCCAGCCCACTGCAGATACCCCTAAATTGGGGGCAGGTTGGGGGTAATTTGGGGGTACAAATCTTAAAAAGTTACATGGTTTGAAGCAGCTTATCTAAAAAGTGTTTCAGAAAACGGGCTCCCAGGCTCTGGGAATCCTTGGTGATTAGACAGCACAGGCTGGTGCTAGACAGGCAGTGTCACAACTGAATCCTAAATCATTCTGTCACTGTCTTCCAGAGAGCCTGGTGCCAGGAAAAGAGGACAGGACTAGGAAGTCCCAAGGCCTGGGTTCAAGGCTCTGCCCACTCCTCATGAGCTATGTGACTCTAAGCCTCATAAAGAAAGTTGGGTGATAACATCCCTCTTCAGGTTTTCACTCCCAAGCCCACCCCTCCTTGGGTATACTCAACTGTCAAGAGTTCATAAGTATCCTTTCACAGTACTTTCTGTTCATTTACATAATTATAAAAGTGTATCAAATATCAATTCCTGTATTAGAAACAGGAATTTTCTTTTTTTTTTTTTTTGAAACAGGAATTTTCTAATTCTGTTTAGAATTTTCCTTCTAAACAGGAATTAGAAGTATTATTCAGACATAATAGCCTTCTGAATACTTAAAAGGCAAACTTGCTGACTCTAAAAAGAAAACCCAGTTACTATTTATTTCCATCAATAATCATGCTTCAGTCAATCTTAAGATATCTTGCCATTTTCAACACCATGGATGGACCTCGAGGGCACTATGCTAAGTGGAATAAGTCAGAGAAAGACAAACACTGTAATGTGGAATCTAAAAGCCAAAGTAAATTAACAAAATAATGAAACAAACAGAGGCATAGATACAGCAAAAAACGCAGGTGATTGCCAGTGGCGGGGGGATGGGGTGGGGGGACAGTGGCGAGGAGAGAAATATGTGAGGAGGGTTAAGTACAAACTTACAGTTACAAAATAAGTGAGTCACAGCTACTCATTATGAAATGTATAGTGTGGGAAATATAGTCAACAATTATGTAATGTCTTCATATGGTAACAGGTGACCAGACATCACGATGATCATTTTGAAATATACAGAAATAGCAAATGACTATATTGTTTACCAGGAACTAACATAGTGTTGTAGGTCAATTATACGCCAAAACAAACAAACTCAGAAAAGAGATCAGATCTGTGGCTACCAAAGGCATGGGGTTGGGGAGTGGGTTGGAATTAGATGAGGTAATCAAAAGATACAAACCTCCAGTTATAAGACAAGTTCTCAGGGTGTAATGTACAATATGCTAAAGATAATTCACACTGCTGTACATTATAAATGAAAACTGTTAATACAGTAAATATTAAGGGTTCTCATCACAAGAAAAAAAATTTGTTTATTTAAAGTTATATCTGTATGAGATGATGGATGTTCACTAAATGTATTGTGGTCATCATTTCATGATGTATGTAAGTTAAGTTATGTTGTACTCCTTAGATTTACACAATGCTGTATGCCACTTATTATCAATAAAATTGAAAATACCATTTAACTTTAAAAAAAAGATACGTTAGTTCAGAAACATGACCACTATTCCTATTTGGTCACCATACTGAAGTAGTTGCAGGTGCAAGAATTTTGCAACAGTAAACTTTTGATTTTACTAATTCAACATAATCTAGAACTTCAAACTAATTTTCACCATTAGCCATGGGGTTTAGAAATTAGGTGTCCAACTAAAATAATGAACTGTCTGTGCAAACTCCTCTTGGCCCTAATTGCATAATTAATTGGAAACTGGTTTAATGGCTGTTTTCTTTCAGGGTCCAACTGCCTATGTGCTAACTCGGGAACAAAGTCACTATTTAATATGGAACCCCTGCAGTGGACATTTTTATGGACAGTTTGATACCTTCTGCCCCTTAAAAAGTGTGGGCTGTTTAATAGGTCCAGATAATGTAAGTATTACCATTTCCTCTGAAATACGGTTGGTTGACTATTTTTTTTTAACAGATGTATTAATTTTCATAATATTTATGTATCAGAAAATTTGCATATATATGTATATGTATGTGTATATATATATATATATAAAATTGTTGCTGTTGAGTCGCTAAGTCACGTCTGACTGTTTGCGACCCCACGGACTGCAGCACGTCAGGCTCCTCTGTCCTCCACTGTCTCCTGGACTTTGCTCAAATTCATGTCCATTGAGTTGTACTGGACCTGGTGGCTCAGACAGTAAAGAATCTGCTTGCAATGTAGGAGACCCAGTTTCGATCTCTGGGTCGGGCAGATCCCCTGGAGAAAGGCACAGCAAACCACTCCAGTATTCGTGCCTGGAGAATTCCATGGCGTGAGGAGTCTGGCGAGCTACAGTCCATCGGGTCGCAAAGAGTCAGACATGACTGAGCAACTATCACTTTCACCTTTCACACTCAATTAATTATTGAGTTGGTATTGGTAATTAAAGAAACAGTGTCAAGCAAAGGTGCTCTATCAGGCACTGGTTAAAAACATGAGTTGTTAGATCTCACTGCCTGAGTTTAAACTCCAGTGTCTGTGTTTACCAGCTGTGTACGCTTAGGAAAGTTTCTCAGTCTGAAACAGCATCAGGTTCTTCCCTGGTTAAATGAAGATACTTGCTAGTGAATACAAAGTAATTGTGAGAAGTAAATGAGGTGATCAATACAAAGCAGCTAACACACAGTAGCAACCCCATGTTGGCTCCCGTGACTGCTTTTATAATCATTATCTACCTTAGTAATCTCTGAACTTAATGTCAGAAGAATCATTTGAGCACGTATCCCCAATATATGTATTCTTATTTGTAAATTATGTACTTACTTATGTATTGATAAATATTACATTACACACAGGAGAATTATATCTTTCTTAAAGAGAAATAATTAGAGGGTCTAATATTTCTTCCCATGCCACTGTGATATGCACCCTACTTTGAAGACCTCTCTGGTCTATGGGTTACTATCAAAATTAGAGATAAGATACATGGAGCACCCAGCCAAGTACCTGTCTGCCATAGGTATTCAGCAAATGGTAACGATTATCAACTACAGGTGTGAAAAGCCAAGTGCAGCATCCCGTGTGCATGTTACTATTTTTAATTAAAAGCATTAGGATAATCATAGATGATCTGCTAAGCTCCATCTGAGAAGCACTCTAAGGTCATATTAGTAGTCAGGCAGACTCAGTGGGTACTGAAAAGCCTTCGAAGAATCCCATTCTCTGTCAGAAGTATTAGTTCTCAAAACAATTACCATATGGCTAACCAATTCACATAAAGCCCAAGTGCTGTGAGCAAGAAAGAAGCCTTCCCTCCGAAGCCTCGGCCGCCCCCCAGAGAGGACCCGCCCGCGGTTCACCCTCTGGGTCTGGCCCTCTGAACCCTCAGCTGCCTCTGCTCCACCACCTCTTTACAGACTGCCAGCCTTTCTCCTCCTTCACGCCTTTGCCAAGAAGTCAGTCCTTTCCATCCATGTTTGTGTTTCCACTCCTGCTCCAACACTTGCCTCTGTTAAGTTTTCTCTTATCGTTCTCTATCGATAGGCTCGGAAGTCCAACAGTCCTCAAATATGCTATACCCTAAACTACCACTGCCCCTCCTTGTCTTCCTTCCAAAATTCTTTAAATTCTATTTATAGGCCCTGCTTCCTCTTTCTCAGACTTCATTGCTGTTAAGTCGCCTGGTCGTGTCTGACTCTTTGACCCCATGGACAGCAGCACACCAGGCCTCGCTGTCCATCACCATCTCCCAGAGTTTGCCCAAGTTCATGTCCACTGCATCAGTGATGCCATCCAACCGTTTCATCCTGAGCCCTTTTCTACTTCTCAGACTTTGGTCCTTTATAATCTAGTCCTCTTCCCTGATCAATCTACAGAAATAAACTCTAAGAAGTACCATTGTCTTGCTAATGGATAAATAAGTCCAATGGTTTACTCTCCTCACTCATTTCTCCTTTTCTATGACACGTGACACAACTACTCACCTCTTCATGGGGTGGGGCGGGGCGGGGGGGGGGAACAACTTGCCCAGGCTTGGTTTACTAGTAAAGGACTATTGGTTTTCATTTCTCTGCAATAGCTCCTCAGGTTTCTGCCACTAACTCTTCTTTTCACACTTTGAAGTAGATTTTCCTGAAAATTCTATATTTAGATTTCTTGCAGAACACACTTATTATTAATTATAACTCTATCTAGTTTATCCTGGCAAAAAAAAAAAGTTGTAATTCACTAGCCCAGGAATCTTTGGAACCTGAATTTTCAACTGTTTGCTAGACAGCAAAATGCTGATTAAAGTCTCAAACTCAGGACACCCATAACTCAACTCATTTTTCCTCTATCTCTGAAAACAGCCCCTCCTCCTGGCCCTCCCACTTCTAAGGAGGTCAATCGCTCAGATTCAAACCCCATAATTGTCCTTGAGTTTCCCCCTCCCCTACTTCCTCCTACTTCAATCCTATTAACAGATATTAGTACCAAGTGATATAGATACCACCCCTTCTGTTTTCCAGGTCATGTCATTATTATTTCATCCTGCATTACTATAAATAACCAACTAAATAATCTGTCTCCAGTTCAGCCCATGGTTTAGTCCACTGATGCCTGGTTCTTTCCGAATGTTCAGCTTTCCTCATGCTCAGAAAGTACTGAAGGCACCCCACTGTATATAAATTTAAGAATAAACATCTCACCTTGGATTCTAATCTGCCTTCAATTCCCAGTGCTATTTCTGACGACTTTTCTGCACTTTCCCTACCCTACAGCCAGACTGTAGTTCTTAAAAACCTTGCCCTCTTAAAACTACTTGCTCCTATCCCTGTCTAATCTCCAAAGAGCAAATAATATTCCTGTTAAAATAGAAGATAGATTTTCATTCCTCTGCTTAAAATACTCCAGTGACTTCTTGGCTCACTCCAAAGTCAAAGACTCAATCTTTAAAATGGCCCACGAGGCTTCTACGATCTGACAGCTGCCTGGCCCCACCATCTTCACTGATCTCTTTCTTGCTTCTATGTGCTCATTCCTCTGAAGTCACTTTGTTCTCTTGGCTGTCCCTCAAACGCTCTTTGCATTTGCTATTTCCTCTGCATCGATGACCCTTCCGCTTACCAGAAAGCTTCACTAATTCTTCCCTCACTTCATGTTCTTTCCAATGAAAACATCCGTGTGTGTGTGTGTGTAGTCAGTTATGTCCGTACGACTCTGCGACCCTGTCCAGGGATTCTCCAGGCAAGAATATTGGAGTGGGTTGCCATTCCTGTCTCGCCTCCAATCTCACCTCTTACTGCATAGCTTTCTCTACAACCTGTGTAAGTTTAACTTGGCACAACACACTAAAAACTCACCCCCAAACTAAACGGCTTCAGACAGTTATTCTCATGGACCTGTGAGTCAGCTGGGATGGTTCTGCTGACAAGGCTGGGAGCGCCCTGCTTCAGAGTGAGTTTTAATTCTGGGACTTGGGGCAGTGACAGTCGGCAGGGGCACGAGAGGGCAAGCAGGAACATGCAGAGCTTCTCCGGAGGCTGGGACACAGAACAGTGACACTGCTATCCCTCTCTACTCACCAGAAGTCAAGAGCCAAGGCAATACATTTCTACCCTTTTAGTGGAGGGCTTCCTGGGTGGCTCAGTGGTAAAGAATCCACCTGCTGATGCAGGATATGCAGGTTCAGTCCCTGGGTCGGAAAGATCTCCTGGAGAAGGAAATGGCACCCCACTCCAGTATTCTTGCCTGGAGAATCCCATGGACAGAGGAGCCTGGCGGGCTACAGTTCATGGGGTCACAAAAGAGTCAGGCACAACTTAGCGACTAAATGACTGCCAAGTAACAGGGCAAAGGCTGTGGGTATAGGCAGGGGTGCAGAACTGGGGCCAGTGATACCCTCTCCCACGTCATGTATCGTCTGATATCCCATGTCCTTGTTAGTCTGCACTGTCTTCTCATTAGCTGCTACGTGCCAGTAGAAACTCTGTTTCATTTACAACTTTATCCACGACTGTATTAGAACGATTATGTTGAATGGGACAAATTCACCACTCATGCACAGTTACAGGTAGGTAGTTAGGCCTATCATATGCCAACCGGGAGCTGTGCCACGCTAATGACACAGTGGTGAATAAGGCATGTGACAGAAGTCCTCAGGGAAACATCTCAGTCTAGTGAGACAAACAATGATCAATATGAACAGTAGTAATAAAATAGCTAACAGCTACTGAGTACTCAGTATGTACCAGGCATTGTTCTAAAGAGGTATAAATAAATTAACTCACTTAATCTTATGAGGTAAGTACTATTATCCCACTTTTATAGAGGAGGTATGTTTCTAATCACCAGGAACTACCTTACTTCAGCAATCTACATTCAATAGTAAGGTACACCTCAACTGCGGATATACAAAAATGTAAAAAACTGGCCCATGGCTACTACATGATGCCACTGACTGTAAAACGCTTGTCAGTGTTAAGAATCAAAATATGAAAAAAAAATGGGCAAGCTGTACGTCGTCTTGCTGTCTCTCTGCTGCATCTCTCTAAACACACATACATCTGCCACCATATACACTAATGTAGTCCTGTCTTTTTTAGATTTGGTTTAATATTCAACAATATGATTCCCCACTACGGATAAATTTTGATGTCACCAAGCCCAAGCTATGGAAATCTTTCTTTTCAAGAAGTCTTCCGTATCCTGGCCTTTCCAGTGTTCAGGTATATATATATATATATATATATATATATATATGTTTATATAACAATTAAATGTAGACAGACAGGTCTTGAACTGTGGTGGTTCAGATGGTTAAGAATCTGCTGGCAATGGAGGAGATGCGGGTTTGATCTCTGGTTTGGGAAGATCCCCTGGAGAAGGAAATAGCAATCCAGTCCAGTGTTCTTGCCTGGGGAATCCCACGGACAGAGAAGGCTGGTGGGCTACAGTCCATGGGGTTGCAAAAGAGTCAGACACGATTGAGCAACTAATACTTTCACTTTCAAATGCAGGCAAAGAAAGGGAGGAATTTGCCATCGTTATACTGGGTTGCCAGATATTTTTTGATCCTTAATTCCACTCCTAGGTATTTAGTCTAGGATAATACTTCATTTTCAAACTTAGTTAAGCCCAATTCCCAATAAGAAACAGACCATCATATGATGAACCACTATACACATACATAAAAGAATAAATTTGATAGAGTCCTGTGATCTTAAAAAAAAACCACAAACTATATTTCATTTAATTTTTCAGATGCTACAATGGTCTCAATTCACTGAATTAATTTTATCACATGTTTCATGTTGAAATATGAAATCAAAGTTCAGGTCATGGTCCAGGAAGGACTCATTAATTTAGAGGGTACTGGACATTACTAGATTATAAATAGTAAGCCTGAGACTTACTTACTAAAACTTTAAATTTGATAGCCATAGATATATAGATATATAACTGTGTGTGTAATATAAAATGTATTTTTTTTTGCTGTGGATCAAATCTTTCCAAAAGATATTTTAAGAAAAATCACTTTAAGAGAAATTCTTCATGGATAGAAGATAACATAAGAGTTTTCATACGAAAACTGTTTGCAGAAGCCTAAGGATTAGAAGGACAGAAGGGGTAAATTATGGTATACACTGAAATATTTTATAGTAGTTACACAAATGAATCAATACTCATGAATCTTAGTAAGCACAGTGAAAGTATGTATTTGCTATCTTCTCTAAATATAATGTTAAAGGGGAAAATATGTTCACAGGATAAAATCACTAAAGTTTAGAAAACTGAAAAGCAACACAGTATATTGTTTAGGGATGTGTGTATCTGTAGTTAAGTCATGAACACATTTCACTACTTTGCCTGTCTCCACTGACGACAACGTAAACACCACGAGGGCAGGGATTCTGTTCATACGGGCTACATCCTCTTCACCTGTATAAGCGCCTGACACACAGTAGGTCTTCAATACATGTTGAATGAAAGAGTGCTGAAAAAACAAATGCAGATCATGGTTGCTTCTTCGAGAGAGAGAGGGTAATAAAACTGAGAAAGAACTACACGGCACTGTAATTTATTTGTGAAGCTTTGCTTAAAAGTAGATCTTGGCTGCATTAGCATCTGTGATATTATCCTAACTCAATAAAGAGTTCATAATTAAAAAAAAAAAGATTTAGAGAAGGATGTACAGCTATTAAAATAAACTGTAACTGATTCCTAAAAATTTGTCAACTGTTTTTTTTTCTTTTATAGCCAGAAGAGCTTATTTACCAGCGCACAGACAAGGTGGCTACAGCTGAACTACAAGACAGGTGACATAACCCATAAATCCAAATGCAATCTGTCACTAGGAGTGTTAATATCAAACTACACAGTTCTCAGCCTGGATCAATGTGAACAGCAATTAAACTTTAACTCGTGTTTACAAAGTTCAGATGTGATCTGTAAATCCCAAGGCTCTGGCATCAGCATAGTGTGAGCCACAGAGCAGTGAAGTGCGACACCGATAGCTAGTTCTCCAGAAACTTCCCCCCAGATTAGAGTTCACGGCATGCTACGCGTGGGTCCCATTCAGTAATCTCACAATCCTTGGCTTAAACAGGCCCATTTCGTCCAATCAGTGGTTCAGTGAACTTCAACTACTTTCTGAACCTAGCACATGGGGTTAATAGAAGGCTGGTAAGAGCCCGTTTGAGCCCCATAATCCTTAGCATGAACCCTGCGAAACAGAACTTCCGTTTTCCCAGTTTCACAGGCTCAGAGGCCCATGTACTTGTCGGGGGCCTAAGGGGCTTCTGGGCCCAGCCAGACCTCTCTCATTTCAAAGCCTGTGTGTCCTTTCTTCTGTCCCAGGCCACGCGAAGAGGTGCATGTCAAAGTGTACAAGATCACAGTGAGCCTTTTTATGGTATTGTTACCAAAAAACACCAATTTACTCTCAACTCCATATTTAAAATAAAGCTGTGAGATCCTGAGAACAACTAATTCCTGGAAAAAAAAAAATCTTGTTTCTTCTAAAAGTTTCAAAATGCTAGGTTTTGTACTTTTGTTTACAAGGGAAAAGTTAAGTCACCCAAAAAAATGGAGCTTATTTTTTATAAACAGGATTGAAAAAATACTAAAAGAAAAAATCATGGACTGGCGGCCGCGCCATCTGACTCGGTGGAACAGATACTGCACCTCCACGCTGCGTCACCTCTTGCCTCTGTTAGAAAGGAACCAAGACGACGTGGAGGACGACCACAGAGCAGAACTGCTCAAACAGCTAGGAGACTACAGGGTAAGCAGAACATTTCAAATTGGAAACTGCTCAGTACGATGGGCTTTGGAATCAAAATGCCTACATTACTTCCCACACTGTATAGATGAAGCAGCAGAGACTACAAAAATGTGATTAAAAGTTCAAAGCTCAAGAATGAACCCACCATTAAACAACAAAATGTCTCTATAAAACGGAAATATCACCATTTTTTGGTAGGAAGATCCTGTGAAAAATATCTTTTATAAAATCGCAAGAGTATTACATAAAATGAAAATATTTGGCTAAATCATGTTAGACTCAACTGAACATCAAGGTGAAGCCAACCATTCTTGAGCAGACTTTAAGGATATGGTTTTACTCTGGTTGCTTTTTGTTGCTAAAAAAATTCTCCTTACCAGGTAATATATATTCTTTACTGTCAGTAGTGCTGTGTGTTCATACCCTATAGCCAGATACTAAAACCTAGAAAGCAGTGGCAAAACTCAAACAGTAAGCCTCGTTGGTCAAACAGTATGAAATCAAGCTGGACATTTCAAAATTTCATTTATTTCTGGCTGCACTGGGTCTCTGTTGCTGCACATGAGCTTTCTCCAGCTGCAGCAAACAAGGGCTACTCTCGCTGTGACGCACGGACTTCTCATCACGGTGGTCTCTCTGGCTGCAGAGAGCAGGCTGTAGGCACGCGGGCTCAGTCGCTGTGGCGCACGGGCTTAGTTCCCCACAGCAGGCGGAATCCTCCCAGACCGGGGACCAAACTCCTGTCCTCTGCATTGGCTGGCGGATTCCTAACCACTGGACCACCAGGAAGGTCCCAAGTTGGACATTTAATTCTACTCAGTGACTAAAACTTACCCTTTAAACTTCTAAGGCTAGGTTTCAGCTGGGATGCTTTCAAGTAACAGAAAACTTATTTCAAACAAGCATGAGCATTAACAACCTATGGGCTTATTAGGATAAAAATTAGGGACGAGTAGCTATTGGGGCTACACCACATGTCTGCACGTCTTCCCACTCTGCCCTCCCCCATGTGATGGCATCCCCCCCAGAGTGGTTTTCCTCATGGAGCACTCACACATGGACACACATGGGCTGGAATAGTTGCTCTGAGCAGCAGAGGGCATCCATATGCCATTATTCCTTACAAGTTTCCTAGATTACATACCCTCTTTCCTATAGATCAACACTGAGGCCAGGGCAGAATGCATTAATCTACCCTAGGTTCCTGGTATTGCATGGGTTTCTTTCTATGCAAACTCGGGGCCATGAGGAAGAAGGAAGGGAACAGTGGAGGGTGGCTTGGTGACTAACAGGTATCTTAAACATAAATTCAGTATGTTAGCAATCAAAACACTTAGCTTCTCTCCATTTTTTGTAATGCTAATATATAGCTGAATAGAAAAACAAAGCTAAATAGATGACTTTAAGACCCAAAAGGAAGACTTCCTATTTAGAACTGCACATATTTAATTAGGGGGAAAATATAGTGAAAACTTCACTTTCAGCAATGATTAAAATGTTGGTTGTTTTGTTTTCCTGCAGTTCTCTGGATTCCCCCTTCACATGCCATACTCCGAGGTGAAGCCTTTGATTGAAGCTGTGTACAGCACTGGAGTACATAATATTGATGCTCCTAATGTTGAATTTGCTTTAGCTGTGTATGTCCACCCATATCCCAAAAATGTTTTGTCTGTCTGGATCTATGTTGCCTCCCTTATACGCAACAGATAATACTTCCCTGTATGTTTTTTTTTCCTGTATGTTTTATATCATGTAAATTTTATAATTAAGAGAATATTTTTTAAGTGCTCTTGATCTGTCAGAGGAAAGAAAATACTTGCAAATAATGAAATAAAATTATCATGATTTTCAAAATGTGCAAATTTTATTTAGTTTTTCTGCCTTGTCTATGCCACTCTGACCCTAAATTCAACTGTGACATCTCAGAGCTCCTATGACCTTTATTGCTCTATGCTTTTGCACTTGCTCACCTTCTACTGAGAATGATCTTCTTCTTTGCCAGTAAGATATCCTGTGCTTTTGGATAGAATTAATACTGTTACAATAGCCATACTACCCAAAGCAATCTATATATTTAAGGTGCTCACTATCAAATTACCCTTGACAGTTTTCACAGAACTGGAACAAATAATCCTAAAATTAATATGAAACCTCAAAATATCCAGGATTGCCAAAGTAATCCTGAGGACAAAAACAAAGCAGGATTAGCAGCCCTCCCAGACTTCAGACAACACTGGAAAACTACAGTAATCAAAACAGGATGGTACTGGCACAAAAGCACATATACAGATCAACAGAACAGCATAGAGCCCAGAAATAAACCCACAGGACAACTGATCTTCAACAAAGAAGGCCAGGATATACAATGCAGAAAGACAGTCCCTTCAACAAGTGGTACTGGGAAAGCTGGTTAGCAGCATGGAAGTCAACGAATTTTGCAAACATACTCACACCATAAACAAAAATAAACTCAAAATGGCTTAAAGACTCAATCTAAGACATGACACCATAAAACTCCTATAAGAAAACAAGGTAAAACAGTCTCTGATTTAAATCATAGCAATTTTTTCTTAGATCAGTTGCCCAAGACAAAAGAAATAAAAAATAAACAAATGGGACCTAATCAAACTTATAAGATTTTGCACAACAAAGGAAATCATTAACAAAATAAAAAGATATATTTGGACTATGGACTGGAGGAAAACATTTGCAAATGGCGTAAATGACACGGGCTTAATTTCTAAAATCTACAAAATAGCTCATACAACTCAATATCAAAAAACCAATCTACTAAAAAACTGAGCCAAAGACCTAAAATAAGACGTGTCTTCAAAGAAGACATAGAGATGACAAACAAGCACATGATGAGATGCTCAATATCACTAGTGGTAACAAAAATGTAAATCAAAATTACAATGAGGGATTACCTCACACAGGACAGAATGGCCATCATCAAAAAGCCAATAAATTAATGCTGGAGAGGGTGTGGAGAAAATGGAACCCTCCTACACTGTGAGATACAAATTGGTGAAGCTACTATAGAGGGTCTTAAAAAAAAAAAATAAAAGTAAAGTTGTCATATAATCCAGCAATCCCCAGAAGAGATGAAAACTCTAATTTGAAAAGACACATGCCCACTTATGTTCACAGCAGCACTATTCACAATAGCCATGACATGGCAACAACCTAAATATCCACCAACATATGAATGGATAAAAAAGATGTGGTACATACATACAATGGACTATTACTCAGTCATAAAAAAGGATGAAATACTGCCATTTGTGGCAACATGGATACACCTTGAGATTATCATATTAAGTAAGTCAAACAAAGACAAATATCACTTATATGTAGAATCTAAAAAATAAAACAAATGAACTTATTTACAGAAACCAAACTTATGATTACGAGAGGGGAAGGGAGAGAGGGATAAATTAGGAATACAAGATGAACAGATACACCCTACTATATATAAAACAGATGAAGAACAAAGACCTACTGTACAGCACAAAGAACTATATTATCTTGTAGAAACCTAAAATATACTATTCATCTGAAATTAATACTGTAAATCAATTATACTTCAATTTAAGAAAAAGAGGTATCCAGGGAGGGTAACTATGTCATACAGCACTCAGGATAGAGCCCTCAAATTGGGATTTAGTGCTCTAAGAATAGACAGGAGACTTTACTTCACCTCTACCCCATGCATGAATACAATGAGACGTCTGTCATAACAAACCAGAGAGTCTCCGTGAGACACCAGATCTGCCAAAATCTTGACTCTGGACTTCCCAGCCTCTAGAAGTGTCAGGAACACATGTTATTTAAGTCACCCAGCTTATGGCATTCTGTTTTAATAGCCCAAATCAACTAAGCAAGCCGGGTAATATTAAACTAAATGTATGTACTTACATGGAAAGTGGTACACAAAATAGAAACATGTAAAACAGGATTTCTCAACAGCAGCACTATTGACTTTGCTTTCTTCTATGCAATCTTTCTTCTATGCTTTCTTCTCTGCAATCACCCTGTTTTTTCAGTCTTTTAACCTTCCTGAGGCTTTCAACAGCTAAGTCAAATATCTCTCTTGGCAAATGACACATTGCACTTGAAAATATGTGGGTTATTTTCAAATATCTTTTGATACTGATTTCTAAAGTGAGAAGACTCCTTATGATTTCAAAACCTTTAGACCATGAAATTTTTGCTCCTTGTTTTCATCCTTAGGTATTTTCCATGGTTTCCTGCTTCACAGTCTATGGGAAGTTGAATAGAATTTGTATCCTGCTGTTGTGTGAAAACTGTTTAAATCTTAATTATGTTGAATTGGTTCTTAGTGCTTTTCAGGTCTACCATATCCTTCTACTTTTCTATCTAATCATTCTATTCATTTTGGGGAGTTCGATACTGAAAATCCAACTAAAAATCTTAATTTATCTACTTTAAAAATAATTGTTACAGCGGACCTATATGCAATTTTGTCCCGTATTTTCCAGTTCAGTTCAGTTCAGTCGCTCAGTTGTGTCCGACTCTTTCCAACCCCATGGACTGCAGCATGCCAGGCCTCCCTGTCCATCACCAACTCTCGGAGTTTACTCAAACTCATGTCCATTGAGTCGGTGATGCCATCCAACCATCTTATCCTCTGTCATCCCCTTCTCCTCCTGCCCTCAATCTTTCCCAGCATCAGGGTCTTTTCAAATGAGGTAGCTCTTCACACCAAGTAGCCAAAGTATTGGAGTTGCAGCTTCAGCATTAGTCCTACCAATGAACACCCAGGACTGATCTTTAGGATGGACTGGTTGCATCTCCTTGCAGTCCAAAGGACTCTCAAGAGTCTTCTCCAACACCACAGTTCAAAAGCATCAACTCTTGGGCACTCAGCTTTCTTTATAGTCCAACTCTCACATCCATACATGACCACTGGAAAAACCATAGCCTTGACCAGACGGACCTTTGTTGGCAAAGTAATGTTATCATACTTTCATAATTTAAGTGAAAAAAAAAAAGAAAAAACAAGACAAGGATGCCCACTCTTGCCACTTTTATTCAACATACTATTGGAACTCCCGGTCACAATATTAAGAGAGAAAAACAAAAAAAGCAAGCATCCAAATTGGAAAGGAAAAGGCAAAAGTGTGCTTGTAGATGGCATGATACTGTATATAGAAAGTCCTTAAGGCATCACTAAAATACTATTCAAATAAATTAATTCCACACAGTTGCAGGATTCAAATTAATATATGTCGCTCCTTAGTATCCACAGGAGATTGGCTCCAGGACCCTCTTTTGGACACCAAAAATTTCAGATGTTCAAGTTCTTTACAGCTGGTCATATGCATTTGCAGGTTCTATACACACGGATCCAATCAACCACAGATTGTGAACTCTTCTCCAACCGTGTTTGGTTGTATCCGCAGGTGCAGAAACCACAGATATGGAGGGCGGACTGGACAGAAATCTGTTGCATTTCTATATGGTAATAAGAAACTATCAGAAAGAGAAATTAAGAAAACAATCCCATTTACAACTGCATCAAGAAGAATACAAAACCTACGAATAAACCTAACCAAAGAGGTAAAAAGCTTGTACTTTTCGAAGTACAAGCTATAAAACACTGATGAAAGAAACTGCAGACAACACAGATGAAAAGACAGTTAAAAAAAAAGAAAGAAAAAAAGAAAAGACACACTGTATCTGTGAATTGGAGGAATTAATATTGTTAAAGCAGCCGTACTACTAAAGGCAATCTACAGATTCAACACTATCTCTATCAAAAGAACTGTCACAAAACTAAAACAAATAATTCTAAAATTGAATGTAAACACAAAAGGCCCTGAACAGCCAAAACAATCTTGAGAAAGAACAAAAGAACTGGGGGCATCAGATCAATGGAACAGAGGAGAGTCCAGACGTAAACTCACACTAAGAAGATTAATGAATCTATGACAAAGGTGGCAAGAATACAAATGGGGAAAGGGCAGCCTCTTCAATAAACAATATTTTGAAAACTGGACAGCTATATTATAATCAAACTGGACTAGTTTCTCACAACAAATACAAAATAAACTCAAAATGGATTAAAGACTTAAACCTAAGACCCAAAACCATAAAACTCTCAGAAGAAAAGATAGGCAGTATGCTCTTTGACATTGCTCTTACCAATAGCTTGGATATGTCTCCTCAGGCAAGGGCAATAAAAGCAAAAACAAGCAAATGGGGCTGCATCAAACTAATGAGCTTTTACATGGAGGAAAAAAACTCTCAACAAAACAAAAAGGCAGCCTACTGAATGGGAGAAGATATTTGCAAAATAATGTACTTGACAAAGGGTTAATATCCAAAACATACAAAGCCCTCACACAACTCCGCATCAAAAAAACAAACCACCAGATTAAAAAATGGTCAGTAGATGACTTCCCTGGCAGTCCAGTGGTTAAGATCTTGCCTTCTAACACAGAGAGTACTGGTTTGATCCCTGGTCAGGGAGGTGATCTCACACACCTTGTGGCCAAAAAAAAACGAAACATAAAACCGAAGCAATACTATAACAAATGCAATAAAAACTTTAAAAATGGTCCACGTCAAGAAAAAAAAAAATTAAATAAAAATGGTCAATGGACCTGAATAGATATTTTTTCAAAGACATACAGCCAGCCAACAGATACATGAAAATATGCTCAACATCATGACTAGGAAAATGCAAATCGAAACCACAATCAGATACCACTTCAAACCAGCCAGAATAGTACTAACAAAAAGACAATAAATAACAAGTGTTGGTGAAGAAGTGGAGGGAAGAGAACCCTCATGCACTGTTGGTGGGACTGTACATTAATGCAGCCCCTGTGGAAAACAGTATAGAGGATTCTCCAATTAAAAAAAAAAAAAATAGCCATTTCACTTCTGAGTATTTACCCAAAGAAAACAAGAACACTAACTTGAAAAGTTAAATGCACTCAGTGTTCATGGCTGCATTATGTGTAATAGTATGGCATCAAAACCACCTGAGTCGATGGAAAGATCTATGGATAAAGAAGATATGATGTGAGTGCGTGCGTGCGTGCTTGCGTGTGTGTGGAATACTCCTTAGCCATAAAAAAATCTTGCCACTTGAAACAACATGGATGGATCTAGAGGATATTAAGTAAAATATGTTAGACAGAGAAAGACAAACATGACATGATTTCACTTAAATGTGCAATCTAAAAAACAAAACAAAAGCAGTCTCCCATAAATAGAGAAAACAAACCAGTGGCTATGGGAAGGGAGTGGGGGGTAACAGGGAAAGGGGATTAAGAGGTACAAACCCTGTTATATAATAAACAGGTGTCAAGTCATCATGCAGTACACTTGAAACAAGACTGTATGACAACTATATTTTAATAAAAAAACTTAAGAAATTTTAAAGCATTAATTATCCTCAATAATCAAACAGCAGTGCTATTTAAAAACTAAATGCAAGTTATGCTATCTTCCCATGAAACAGGTCAGGTGATGACAGAAAAACCGTGAGTTTCCATATGACAATGTGTTCATATACTGAAGTTAGTCTGGCTCAAGACTGCCAAGTCCTGTTCAGTGGTTTTCTAAACATCACGTAGCACAGGACAAAGCAAAAGGGGAAACCCCTCAATTACCTCAAACTCCTGGAAAACCAGCTGCTCAAATTAGTTACTTTATAAAGAATAACATTTAAGCCAAGTCCTCAAATACCATTTAATCATGGTTTTTCCCCTAAGTATTATCAAAACTTTTACTCCCCGAATAGGACAGGTTTCTGATTACATGGGGTATATCCTTAAGTCCTCCTGTGGTGACTCACGACTATAGTTACAGATGACTAATTTTACCATGCAGTCTGATGGGACTCACCCCAGAAGACTTATTTCAGTTTCTTTTCTTAAAAGAAAAGAATGTCAACTTTTCAAACAAACTTTATTAAACACTTAAGGAAATAAAAATACAGTAACCACACAACAGTCAACCTACAAAATAAAACATCTGACCCTGTAACTGCTCACTAAAACTCAGATGTTCTCTCAAGTTCTCTAAGGGAATCAAACTTTTAAAGGAGGCAGCTAGGTGCAGTGCTGCCACAAGAGGTGTGAGGACTTAATAAGCTAAGAGACACACACTCAAAGGATAAGATGGTCTGATCATTCAGCTGCCCCACCCTACATACAAGAAACTACAGGGGTTCCATCTTAACGTTTCACAAATGTTAGCAGCAATGGAATCAAAATGACAGAATCCTTAGAGGAAAGTGAAACTTCAGAGTCATTAGACATCCTTCCTCACAGGGGATCTTCTCTCAGAGTGTTTAGTTCAAACATTAGTTAAACTGAAAAGCAGAATGACGTCTCCTGATTTATATTCTCAATTGATTGTTCCTTCATTTTAGACAACTCTGTGTAAAGTAGTTTCCCCTTAGCCTGAATTGGAAGCTGCCCACCTCTAGTTGGTATCTTTCCTACTCCTTCTCTTCCTCAATGAAACAAACAAACAAAATACTTGGGACCACAAAATACATGACTGCAAGATTACCTCCTCTTCTATAGCCTTTAGGTATTTATAAAAATAAGACGGTATGCTGCGGACACAATACTATACACAACATGACGTAAACTTTAGTCAGTATGTGCCTGTCTGAGTAACAGGTCTCCATGCCAACTGTCATTTCACGCAGCAAAGAAGATAAGCCTACGAATCTGAATTTCGACTACTGCACGATTAATTTCTAAGAGACAGTTCAGCTCAACAAAATCAGGTATCTGTCTAAAACTACTTATTTGGCAGGGTCACTGATTTCACGGGGGTTCAAAAGACCCATTTCACAGTAAAGTAACTCTGGACTGAGATCTGTAACACAATCAAAACACAAAAGAGATTACTTGGTAAAGTCCTCAAAGATTTTATTTATGTATTTCTTCAAATGACTGTGGGACTTTTAAAAACCCCTCCCAAACGTGACACGTTTTCGGACAGTGGTAGGGACTGGGGTCTCTGAAGAAAGGAAGTACAAAGACACTGGTGCTGTGCCAGCTCAAGGAGCTGACACCAGGAAGCCAATTTATTTCACCATCTTAAGAGAATCTTACACGTGGGTATGTTTGAATTGGCCCTCTGGGAACTGTTCAAATTAAAGAAAACATATGGAAAAGAGACCGGTTTTCAAAACGTGCAGTCTCTGAAAATAAAACTTCAGAAATGTATGTCTGAAAAGATCTGCAAAGCTTGGTACAGTGTTTATCTATAAAGAGAACCAATTACCCATTGACTTCAAAACTCAAAATAATGTAAAAAAGACTTTAAATGGCATGGTATTAGTGACAATTTTTTTCGAAGTATTCAATTTAAAAGAAATCTGATAAAACTGTTCTTACCCTATGAAAAGATCTAATCCCTTTCTAAAACAAAAATACGATTTGCAAAGAGAAACAACACTGTACAATTCACTGGTAAATTAAGATTTCTGAGGCTGTAAGAAATGGGGCCAAAACAAGTCACACTCAAAAAAGGGATGGTTAACACAAGAAATGTGCTATAAGTAAAGTGCATGAAAGGAAGCCTGCTCAGCTAAATGAAGTAGACAAGGGTCAGAAGTCAAGGGTCATTCGCCAGAGCGGCAGCAGGCTCGAAAACCACACTGCAGGTTCTGGCATCCGCTGGCGGTGTCAGCATGTGGACCTGCGTGAAAACAGAGAAGTGTGAAAGGAGGAAATTCTCATCACATAAAAGTAAGCTTGCTAGTTAAAGAACTGTAAAACACTGATTATTTTTACTGGTAATACATTTATAGCATAGATATGAAAGCCCATCATGAGTGTATAAAAATTTTTTCAGCACAGAAGTCACCAAAAGCAGTTTAACTTTAACTAATACAGGTAAATGAAAAGGAAGAAGGAAAAGAAATAATTTTGTTGGCAACAATCCTACAAACAAAAAATCCAAGGCGAGATAACTCACAGAAGCAAGACTGCCAGGCTAAGTGAACAATGGACCTCTTACACCATGAACATCCTTCCCAGAAATAGTATTAAGGCAAAAACAACCTCATCTGTAATAGATAAGCTAAAGAATCCACTATTCAGCAATTACAATAAATACTATATTCAAAATTTCTGTTAAAAATAAACTATGTAGACCTAGCCTTAACATGTTTGACATATTGTTATTTAACATCTGTTCCCCAAAATAAATCATGTGCTATGGTTAAATTACTTTCCAGAATTAAGTATGCAATGAATAAATAATTAAAAACACATCTAAAACATAATAAAAATTGTGATTCAATTACAAACAAAGCAATAAAACATCTGTGGAATAACTGATATTTTATTCCAATCATATTATGCAATTCAAGACACTAGACTAAAAGATGCACTAGGGAACGCAGCTGAGAATCAGAGGGTGTCAAAGAGACAGCATGGCATATGCTCCAACGTTAAGCGCTCTGAATGAGTCACAGCTTTTACAAAGGCAAGCAAACGTGGAAAAAGACGTTTTTACTATATTGAAGCTTTCAGTACGTCTGCACCATGAACAAAGTTAATTAGTTCTTTACTCATCAATTAGAACCCAAATACTTGCATTTGTAATACTAAGGGCCATAAAAATACATAATACAAGAAATATAACTTTATTGTAGAAAATAACATTTTATAAAAAGGATTAAACCTGAAAAATCATAGTACTCTGGGATGATACCAAGACTAACTCAGAAAAATAGGCTAACTTAGTTTCATTTTGTTTTTTGAAGTACCAAACCATTGCAAAAGAAAGTGATTATACTAATAGCAACATAAGAAAATAACAATTTGCAAATCAACACCCAAAACACACCTATTTCCCAGAATTTAACTACTCTTTTTATTCTTGAAATGGCAATATACAAAATAAGAAAGATTAATTTCTTAGGATATACAAAAAAGTACAGCATTCATATAGCTCACTATGAAAATAATGTATCTTTAGGAAAAGAAACAAATGGGCTTTACAACCATAGTGGAGCTGCAATAGCTTTTGATTTCATTTATCTCCAAATACTTATGTTTAATTTTTAAAGTAATACTATGTCTGGATATAGGGAGGAAATAAGGGAAAGCACAACGGTCTATCAAAGAGGACTGGCCTCAGGTGTGTAACTGCTGAAGCCAATGATACATGGGCTTCACTCTATTATTATGTTTATATGTTCGAAATTTTCCATAACTTTAAGTCTCAAATCATTTTAAATATAAAACTGAATTACCACAAAGCCTATTTTTTACGTAATCAAAATTAAAATGTGTTCTTTTAAAATAAAAAGTCGAATGTGTCAAAACTTAAAATTCACAAAGCAGCACTTTTGTTAAGATTATTTTCTCTTTAAGACACAATCTAGCAATCTTAATCACAGAGTCAAAATGAAATCTCTTAGTGCGTGTTATCAGATATTCCAAACGCCCTAGGAAGGAATCCTCTGGCTTGAAAATCTTCTCACACTGACAACATTTGACCAGGCATCCCCTTTGAACACATTTTCGGCTTTAACTGACCCTCCCCACCTTCCTTTCTGAGCCCGCGTCCCTTCCCCCTTACTCTGGTCACTGCTCAGCCCGCCAGTCGTGGAGGGGCACCTTTCTCCGAGGCCCAAGGCCCTGCCTCACTACCACTGCCCCGCCCTGACACAGTCCCTGTGACGCAATGCTGATACTGGCGGCTTTTACAAAAACACATCCAACTATCATTTTCTCAGTGTATAATTCTAACTTTTCTGAAAGGGAGAAATACAAGGAAAAAGACATGGAGACTTCGGTGCAGTACTCCAAAATGAAACTCCCTATAATACTTCAAAATGTCTATACTCCTGTTTTCTTTAAAAGGATAGAAAGGTAAAGAAGAAATTTTATACTGAAATCAAAAGTGGCCTAGGAAAAAGTCCTAAGCAATGGCTGAAAGCAATGAAATAAAGTATCTACTGGTTTGCAAGAGAGAAAATAAAAGGGAGCCTCGTAGGAGCCAAGTGGATCAAGGATGCCACTCAAGATTTGCTCTTTTCCAAACACAGGTATATTCCATTTAACTGTGATCTGCTTTACTGTACTTAGCAGATACTGCATTTTTCACAAACTAAAAGTCTGTGGCCACCCTGCACTGAGCTCGTCTACTGACACTATTTCCAACAGCACTTGCTCCCTCCTTGTCTCATGTTGAAGCAACAGCTGACTCACTGGAAAAGACGCTGATGCTGGGAAAGATTGAAGGCAGGAGGAGAAAGGGACGACAGAGGATGAGATGGTTGGATGGCATCACCGACTCAATGGAGATGAGCTTGATTAAACTCTGGGAGTTGGTGAGGGACAGGGAAGCCTGGCGTGCTGCAGTCCATGGGGTCACAAAGTGTCGGACATAACTGAGAGACTGAACTGAATTGAACTGTCTCAGTGTCACATTTTGGTAACTCTCACAGTATTTCAAGCTTTTTCATTATCATGACATTTATTATGGTCAGTGCTCTTTGATGTACTACCATGACTGTTCTTCTGAAGGCTCAGATGATGGCTAGCATTTTTTAAATTATGTACATTGCTTTTTTAGACATAAAGCTATTGCACTTAATAGACTACAGTATAGTGCGGACATAACTTTACATACACTGGGAAACCAAAATATTCATGTGGCTCACTTTATTGCAATGTTCCTTTATTATGGTGTTCTGGAACCAAACTTGCAATATCTTCGAGGAAAGCCTATACCACAGTTTTTCATCATTCTTGATAAAACACAGAGGCCCAGTATCCTCAGTGCTCACCCTGGAGACCTGAGTCTCTTTGCTCTCAACGTCTCAGGGATGGCAGTAGGGCTAAGAGAGGAAGGAAAATGCAGAAATTAAAATACGTGCCCTACATTAGGTAGAGAATAACCCTGTCCTGATGCCTGTCAGTCTCTCCTTACTCGTCACAAAGTTATTGCTCACACTGATATAAAATGGGCTCCCTTTCTCAAACACACACTAGGATATCTGTCTGAGTTTCAATGGAAGTCTAAGGGCATAACTGTACTTATTAGCCAATAACTGTAACACTACCTCAAAACTACAGCCCCATTGAAAGGTCAATGATATTCCAGATGACTGATCCTAATAATCCATAAAAGTGGATTCATCCTTGAATGGATTTTATTTTGTTGAAAGCCTACAGCAAAGCAAAGGTAAAGACAACCACTGTTTTTAAGTTAGTTTCATACTATTGGAAACAGGGGTGAACAGCAATTTCCAAAGCATAAAAGTCATAAGCAACATAAACAGTTAAGATGCTTCAGTATCAGAGGGCTGTCAGAAAAGGGAATAAATGGATAGGAGAATAAATAGGCCACAGAAAAAGCGAGGTAGAATTAGAAAGAAACAGGACTAAGATATGCTGGGTTGCCAAGGATCTCTAGATGCACTTACAGACATGGAGTTCAAAAGGTAAACACTGGACTTATCACCCGTAAATACCGATCTTGATGTGAGATTTAAAAAACAACCCGATGGTTATAATATGTGAGGGCTAAGTTACAGCAGATAATAAACAGAAAAATAACATTTGCATAATCAGCAAATAAAATCTTTAAATGCATGGTAGAAATAAATTTCATAAGAAAACGTTCTTTAAAATATTAGAAAAGAAGAGCTATAATGTTAGCTATCATTATCTTCCCAAATTTTTATTACTGAATTATTTGTTTTTCTTAGATTTTAAGCACATTATTTATGCTGTGTATCTGCACTTACCTTCACTTACCTTTAAAATTCCTTTTAACTTAAATTAGAAACGTAAGAGAGCAAATCATCTGAGACTGTGTCACCTACTATGAGCTAACCTCTCTTAACTCATAAACATACACTGAAATGCAAATCAGTACAAAAAGCTTATGTGCTATCATTGTTCAGATGTTCTTCAGAGCTCTAAAATTATGCAATTCCATCTACTGCTTCTTAAACGACAAAGAATTTTTTTAAATGTCAAGGCTAAGTCTTCTTTATACTTAAATCTTAACTTTTGTGTCAATCCACAAACAAATTTAAATGTCATGAAGAATCATTCAGAAGAACAAAAATGTCATTTTATGTCAATGCTTAGTACAGTGTCTTGCTCACAGGAGACAATGCTTGATAATTAACTTATCTTCTCCAAAATCTCTGCTAAGGCTTAGGAAACAGAAAATTTTGCTTCATTTATCATTTATTTAATGAACACTATTTATCAGTATTTACTTCTTTTAGTAGTAACCTGGTAGTTAACTATGGAAATAAACTCTTGACAAAATGAATTTTCACTGTGTTATTCTCAAATATTAAAACAAAATGTGTCACCTGAATATGACCCTTATTAGTCTAAGAACATGTATAAAAATATTGGCTACTTTCAAAACTAATAACAATAATAATAAAAAGGGAGCCATTACACAGTCACTAAATATTTACTATACAAGCTGAACTGTAATGAAAGATACTGGATCAATCCCATGTCATCTTGCAAAACTGGAAACAAGGCAACTTTATTTAACACTTTCTAGGTTGTCAAAATATCCTTTAAGAAAAAGACTGTTATCGGAGTACTGCTTTAAGAGCAACTGGCTGGAACTCTGGAACATATTATAAATTCATATGACAAGTCACCCTGTAAATTTTAAAGGATTTCCATTTCCCCCAAATCATGCTTTAAGAAGCTGTAAAAGGAGACTTGGTATTCGATTATACAAGCACTGTCTATTTTGTTTCAAACCCTTTAAAGACAGATATGTTTATTAAAATTGACTTATTGAAAATTACCACTCATTTTATAAAAAAAAGAATCTTAACAAAAGAAATTCAACAAACATTCAACAAAGGGAATATAGCACCTCCTATGGAACACTTTAATATTTATATATTCAAAATAGGTCAAAATGAAAGAATTTCTAACAAGTTTTAAAAAATATACATGCAAAAGAAACAGGCAGGTCATAAAAATGAAGTGAAACCCAATCCCCCCACCAACCCAATAATATCTACATACCCCAAAATAAGTATAACAAATTAGGTTCGAAGATTTATTCCCGTAAGTATAACCTATGGTGAAATCAATGTAGAGAAATCAAATGTATTACACTACCAATTAAGATATTTTTCCTACAAAAAATAATTGCTTATTGATTACTTCTCATAATGTATAAGCCTTAGTAAACACAATGGTGAAACTACAATGACATAACTATACAAAAAAAATGAATAAGTAAAACTCTTCCCAAACTCCCGAAGAAGCAAATGCGCCACCACAGCACTCACACTTTCTTTCATACACTTAGCAGGTTGCAACCAATATAACATTCACTTTCACCATTCTTATCATATACCACAGGCAATGAAGAGCAAAGAAATGCTCCAACTTAGAGCTGCTATTTCCAGAACACAGGAGGTCATCTCCTACATCACCCATGTGATTCCAGAAACAAAAGAGCTGCCATCTCCTGTCTCGTCCTATATATTTTAAGAAAAACCTCATCTGAGAAACAGGAGATTTGCTAACTTCTCTGCCTACTAGGCTGCCATTCAAGAAGATACCATTCCTCTAAGTCTTCCTGGCCTCTGTCCAGTTTTCTGCCTGAGAGAAACTCAGTTGATCTTCCCATGATCTTAAGATGAAATTGGACTCTCAAAAATAACAATATATGATGCAAAAAGACACAGCAGAATCTGAACCATGTAAACTTTTCCCAGTTAGAAATACAGGAGGTTGATTTGCTTATGCTTCAGGACTTCTGAATTGCAGTGTCCACCAGCGATTACCAGATGACCAACAGGGCAGTGAATGTACTTTGAGAAAGCACATTAAACAGTCCCTCTGCAGGGTAGGAATAGGCTTAAAAAAACAAAACAAAACATCAAGAAATATTTACCTGATGCTGTTAAAGAAAGTGCAGGACTCAATCTCCAAAATACTATAGGGATTTTAGTCACATTTAAAGCACCTCAGTCTCTTCCCATTACCACACTCACCATCCTCCTCCATCTTCCAAGAGGTTTATCTGGAACCAGACTCAGGGTCCCTGAGAAGCTCATATCACCCAAGTCTTCCTTTTTCTACTATACTATGAAGCTTTCTTGCCCTACAAGAAAACTATCATCCCTAAGAACTGCATGTTATTGAGAACATCAGTATCTCTCTACCGTTAATGAGTGCTCTTTCACTAGAAGAAATTCCCAAAATTTTATAAGAACTTTAGTAATTCTACAAAAACTTGCCCCTCTGGATTGATTAAACTATTACATATTTCTAAAATCTGGTAGAATGGATAGCTAAAATCTCGCTCCATAAGAAAAGCTCACATTTAGAAAAGGACTAAATCTCAAATTACAAAAATGTGTGGTAATTTGAAATCTAGAAAACACAACAGAAATCCTAAGTATTATCAGAACTGTTAAAAAGTGTTAAATCAACTCCAAAATTATCTCATTGTTAAAAAAGGCATTACCGTTAATGTTGTCACAGTAGTAGAAGTATTCATCATTTAGAGAAGGACATGCTGAAACCAAGTCCTGCAGGCCTGCACCAGTTACAGTAAGACAACCAGAGAGATTAAGGTGCTCCAAATAAGGCAGCCCTCCTCCCAGAGTCAAAACCCTGCAAGAGAAGCAATCCAACAAAGAGAGCAGATTAATAACTGAAAGACAGACTCTATGACAACTTACGCATGTGTATGGTCCAATGGAATATGAACAGATCCTTCAGTCTGAAAATGAGGAAAACTAAAGAATTTCTATAAAACATGACAACTAACTTCATCCTTAGGTAGGACACTGTTCACTTAACAGAGACACTTACAAAGACATTCAATAAACAAGTCTTTGAAATTTTCTTTATAAGAACATGATAGTAAGTCAATTCTTACAGGAAGGAAATACTGAATATCAGAATTGTAATCTTCATTCTCCTACCAAATTGTCTAAGTAAAAATTATCAAGAAAACTACTGAACAGTTTGGTAGTTCCTCGAAGAGTTAGTCAGCCTATAACCCAAAATTACTCTCCTAGGTGCATATCCAAGGGAAGTAAAAACACATGCTCATAGAAAAACTTGCAAACAAATGTTCACAGCAGCATTACTCATAATACCCCCAAAGTGGAAACAATCCAAATGTTCACCAATGAATGAGTGGATAAACAAAATTTAGTATAAATAGGACACAGCTACAAAGTACTGATAAACGCTACAGCAGGGATGAACCTTGAAAACACAGTGCTAAATGAAAAAGTCAGACACAAAAGACCATATATTAGGTAATTTCATTTATACAAAATGTCCAAAATAGGCAGAAAAGACAAAGTGGATTACTGGTTGCCAGGGGCTGGGGACAAAGAGGAATGAGGAATGACTCCTAATGAGTATATGGCTTCTTTTTGGTTTAATGAAGATGTTTCTAATTTGATAGTGGCAGTGGTTGCCAACCTTGTCAATATATTAAAACCACTGATTTGTATCCTTTAAAAAAATAGATCTAATGTGAATTCCATTTCACTAAAAATGAAAACATGAGGTTTCATGGCATACCTTAAAAGAAGTTTTTAAACACTATTTATACAAAAACGGTAAAATGAGAAATTGACTAAAATGACAATGGCAGAGCTGAAAAATATCAAGAGCAAAATTGAGAACATCAATTTTCAGTATGCAACAGCAAAAACTGGGAAAACTAGCAACAGTCCATCTGAACAGGGATATCAAAAAGCCTATAATACAATAAACTCAAGTAAAAAAAAAAAAGACAATTAGCATCATTACACAGGCACATGGAAATTAGGAAGTAAAGGTAAGTAAAAGTATGTAAACTATTGAAATCAGAATAAACTAGGGAAATATTTATAAAATCAGTGAGAAACACTAATGGACAAACGTCAGTATATACATTTTAATGTTTTGTCACTGCATGTTTAAAAGAAAAAATTGGTCAATCAAAAAGGGTTTATCAAGACCCCAATATACATAAGAGATTTAAATGCACACTTCTCCTGATATTTTAACTGAAAAAGACTGATTCTTTTTCTTTCACAGATTCCCTGATCCCTACCAGAGTTTAACAACAGCAGCAGTTCAGAACCTCTGTGTCTTCACTGGGACAAGTAATTATAGACAGACATCTTTAAAGGAAGACAATATAAGATTTACAGTTTATTGAATCTTTTTTTCCTGTAAAGTTGAATAGCTCATAATAAAAAATAAAACAGCTTCTAAAAAGTGACCTAAAAGATCTCAGAAGGTACCTCAATGCACAGACTACCTCATGTTCTAAAACTTAAAAACTTTCAGGACATTGAGGCAGACTGCATGGAATATAAAACTTCGTATCACAAACACACTTGAGTGAGCTACATATGCATTCACTCACCTCACCGATTCTAGTAGGATAACAAACAAGACAAAAGTAAACAAACAATTATATGATGAATGCTCTTCCGGGAATATAGTTAAGGATGGTGGTGGCCTGAGGGAGAGGGGGTCGCATACAAAGCGACATTTTAACTGGATTGGAGATAGAAACAAGCAGAAGTCAGCCAACACACACATGTTACAGAGACAGCAAATGAATAAAGACAAGAGAAATACAGCACAGGCAGACCTCAGAGACATCCCAGGTCAGGTTCCAGACCACTGCAACAAAGTAGCTATCACAATAAAGCAAGTCATACAGATTTGTTTTTCTAGTGCATGCAAAAAAGTTATGTTCACATCATACTTAAAGTCTATTAAGTTTACAACAGCAATGTCTAAATAATTATATGTATACCTTAATAAAAAACATTTTATTGCTATTAGGTTGGTGCAAAAGTAACTGCAGATTCCAGTGGCCATGGGACTGGAAAAGGTCAATCTTCATCCCAATTCCCAAGAAGGGTAGTACTAAAGAATATGCTAACCATCAGACAACTGCATTCATCTCCCACATTAGTAAGGTCATGCTTAAAATCTTGCATGCTAAGCTTCAGCATTATGCAAACCAAGAACTTCCAGATGTCCAAGTTGGGTTTAGAGAAGGAAGAGGGACCAGAGATCAAACTGCCAACATTCGCTGGATCACAGAGAAAGCCAGGTAATTCCAGAAAAACATCCACCTCTGTTTCACTGACTACACCAAAGCCTTTGACTGTGTGGATCATCATAAACTGTGGAAAGCGCTTAAGGAGATGGGAGTACCAGACCATCTTACCTGTCTCCTGAGAAACCTGTATGCAGGTCAAGAAGCAACCGGTGGAATCCTCTATGGAACAACTGATTGGTTCAAGACTGAGAAAGGAGTATGACAGGGCTGTCTGCTGTCACCCTGTTTGTTTAACCTATACGCTGAGCACATCATGAAAAACACCTGGCTGGATGAGTTACAAGCTGGAGTCAAGACAGGAAGGAGAAATATCAACAACCTTAGACATGCAGATGATACCACTCTAATGGCAGAAAGCAAAGAGAAACTAAAGAGCCTCTTGATGAGGATGAAGGAGAAGAGTTAAAGAGCTAGATTAAAAATAAAAAAAAAAAAAAAGACCATGGCATCTGGCCCTATTATTTCATGGCAAATAGAAGTGGAAAAGGTGGAAGTAATGACAGATTTCCTCTTCTTGGCTCTAAAATCACTGCGGATGGTGACTGTAGCCATGAAATCAGAAGACGACTGCTTCTTACAAGGAAAGCTATGACAAATCTAGACAGTGTGGTGGAAACCAGAGACATTACTCTGTCAACAAAGGTCTGTATCATCAGAGCTATGGTCTTCCCAGTGGTCACGTACAGTTGTGAGAGCTGGACCGTAGAGAAGGCAGAACACCAAAGAACTGACGCCTTCCAACTGTGGTGCTGGAGAAGACTCCTGAAAGTCCCTCAGACAGCAAGGAGATCAAATCAGTCAATCTTAAGGGAAGTCAACCCTGAATACTTGTTGGAAGGACTGATGCTGAAGATGAACTCCAGTATTCTGGTCATCTGATACGAACAGCCAATTCACTGGAAAAGTCCCTGATGCTGGGAAAGACTGAGCACAGAAGAAAAGGCATCAGAGGATGATGAGACAGCTGGATGGCATCACCGATGCAATGGACATGAACTTGGGCAAACTTTGGGAGATGGTGAGGGACAGGGGAGCAGTCCATGGGGTCGCAAGAAGTCGGACATGACTGGGTGAAGGAACAACAACTGGCTGCTGCAAAAGTACCTGCAGATTTTGCATTGTTGAAATCTGCCATTTGACATTGGAATACTTTCCTAAATAAAGGTGGTTAACTTATACATCATTTCAATGCACATTTCTTGCTTTGTCTTTTTGCTAATGACTTATTGTGTGCATGTTAAGTCACTTCAGTCATATCCGACTTTTTGCAACCAGATGGACCACAGCCTGTCAGGCTCCTCTGTCCGGAGGATTCTGCAGGCAAGAATACTGAAGCGGGTTACCATTTCTTTTTCCAGTGGATGTTCCCAACCCACGGGCTGAACCCACAACTCTTGAGCCTTCAGCATTAGCAGGTGTGTTCTTTATCGTATTTTATTTTTGACTAGGAAAATGATGTTAGACAAAAAGTAAATTTGAGTGATTTTCTTACTTGAGTTCAAAATAGATCATAAAGCAGTGGAGACAACTGGCAACATCAGCAACACATTGGGCCCAGGAAATGCTGATTAACGTATAATAGTGGTGGTTCAAGAAGCCTTGCAAAGGAGACGAGAGCCCTGATGGCAAGGAGCACAGAGGACAGCCACGGAAAGCTGACAACCAACCGAGAGCAATCACCAATGCTGATCCTCTTGCAACTACACGTGACGCTGCCGAAGAAGGTCAACTGTTCTGCGGCCACTCAGCACTTGCAGCAAATTGAAAAGGTGAAAAAGCTTGATAAATGGGTCCCTCATGAGCTGACCTGGAGAAGGCAATGGCAGCCCACTCCAGCACTCTTGCCTGGAAAATCCCATGGACAGAAGAGACTGGTAGGCAGCAGTCCATGGGGTCTTGAACAGTCAGATACGACTGAGCGACTTCACTTTCACTTTTCACTTTCATGCATTGGAGAAGGTAATGGCAACCCACTCCAGTGTTCTTGCCTGGAGAATCCCAGGGATGGCAGAGCCTGGTGGGCTGCCGTCTACGGGGTCCGCAGAGTTGGACACGACTGAAGTGACTTAGCAGCAGCATGAGCTGACCACAAATCTAAAGAACTGTCCTTCTGAAGTGTCTTTTTCTCTTAATCTATACAATAACAAACCTTCTCTTCATCAGATTGTGATGTGCAATGAAAAGTGGACTATATACAACAACCAGCGATGACCAACTCAGTGGCTGGACTGAGAAGCCCTAAAGCACTTCCCAAAGGCAAACTTGCACAGAAAAGAGATCATGGTCACTGTTTGGTGGTCTGCTGCCTGTATGATCCACTACAGCTTTCGGAATCCCAGCAAAACCATTACACCTTTAAAGTATGCTCAGCAAATCGATGAGATGCAACAAAAACTGCAGTGCCTACAGCTGGCATTGGCCAACAGAAAGAGGGCTCAATTCTCTTCCATGACAGTGACCGACTGCGTATCGCACAACCAACGCTTCAAAAAGTTGAGGGCTAGGAAGTTTTGCCTTGATCCACGGG